GGTCAGCGGCACTGTAACACAGCCCAGGAGCAGCAGTGGCCCCACAGGAGCAGGAGTGCGGCTCCACTGGCGGCTCGGGCGGCTCGGGCGGCTCGCGCGGCTCGGGTGACGTAGGGGCTCACGGGCGGCGCGGGCGGCTGCACGGGCGGCTCACGGGCGGCTGGGGCTGCTCACGGGCGGCACGGTGGGCGGCTGCACGGTGGCGCGGCGGGCTGCAGCACGGGCGGCGGGGCCGACGGTGGGCCGTAGCGGGGCTGTAGCGGGGCCGGCGACGGGCTGTAGCGGGGCCGACGGCGGGCTGTAGCGGGGCCGGCTGCGGGCTGTAGTGGGGGCCGACGGCGGGCTGTAGCGGGACCGGCGGCGGGCTGGGGCGGGGCCGACCGCGGGCTGTAGCGGGGCCGGCAGTGGGCTGTAGCGGGGCCGACGGCGGGCTATAGCGGGGCCGACTGCGGGCTGGAGCGGGGCCTACGGCGGGCCGACGGGGTCTAGGCGGGGCCAACGAGGGGCCGTAGCGGGGCCTAGACGGGCCGACGGGGCCTAAGCGGGGCCGACACGGGGCCGTAGCGGGGCCTAAGCGGGGCCGACAAGGCCTAAGCGGGGCCGACAGGGCCTAAGCGGGGCCGACGAGGGGCCTAAGCGGGGCCGGCGAGGGGCCTAAGCGGGGCCGACGAGGGGCCTAAGCGGGGCCGACGAGGGGCCTAAGCGAGAGCACGGCGGTAAGGGCGACACGGAGGGTCGCTAAAAAAAAACGCGCGCCTCGGGGCGCGCTTCGGTGGGCCCTAGGAACAGTCCCTAGGAAGGGACCTGCTCTGATTCCATGAGAAGATATGAACGAGAATGAAATGATTATGAACGAAGTGAGTACAAATAGGAAACCCTAATTGGGTTGTACCCCCTATGGGATACCCCACTATAGCCTACACAAATAAGTAAGCTATAATGTTCTGACAACACATCCCCCGGATCTCGATCCCGACTTCAGCCCGGGAGGTTTCTGGTACTCGCACACCATCCCTGAAGCAGAAGGAACACGAGCGTTAGCAACAATTCAACAAACGGCAGTAGCAGAAACAACATCAACAGCAGCAGAGACAACATCGGCAGCAGCAGAGACAACATCGGCAGCAGCAGAGACAAGATCGACAGCAGCAGAAACATCATCGGCAGCAGCAGGACCAACAACACCAGTCATCGTCCACGAAGCACCACCAACACCCGCACAGCAACTGAACCCGACTCAACGAGAAGTCCACAGAAGCGCCAATGTCGACGCCAGCTTCTATTCCAACTCCGACGCGTATCAACGCTCACCCGGACATCGCGCTCCTGAAGACATCTGGCACGCACGCACAGGACATCCAAGCAACACTGTATTAAATAACACAATACGAGCAGGAGTCCTCGACAAAGATTCGCTACTACTACCCGACGGCAGAGAACTTCAACGGGCACGAGGAACTTGCCTCATCTGCCCCGAAGCCGACTTACCCCATCGACCGTTTTCTTCTCACCACAACCCGAGCGCACCTGCATACGCACCACTCGAGAAAGTATACAGCGACATCCTCTTCAATCGAGAACTAGGACAAGTCACCTACAATTACACAATAACCTTCATCGACGCCGCCACTCGATACGTCTGGCATCGAAACCTACCCAGCCGCGACATGGCACTCGCAGCGTTCGCCGCTTGGCTACCGGTAGCAGAGAGGGAGTCAGGAACACAGCTGAAAAGCTTCCAGTCAGACGGAGGAGGAGAATACACCTCTCAGCGCTTCAAGCAGTACCTGGCGGAAAGGGGAATCAAGCAACTCCTCTCCCTTCCCTACGCCCATCAGCAGCAAGGTGTTGCAGAAAGAATGAACAGGACTCTGCAGAACAGCATGCGCAAACTGCTACGTGGCATGCGGCTACCCAACCACCAGTGGCCTGCAGCAATGGACCATGCTGTCATGCTGCACAACTTGCTGTCGTCGTCGTCACTCCCAAACAACGCATCACCGCATCTGCTGTGGACAGGAAAGCAGGGCAGCACAAGAATGTTACGAGTTTTCGGATGCATGGTGCAGTACCGACCCCCAGAAGCACGAGCGGGAAGATTTTCACAACGGGCACAGTGGGGACTACACCTCGGCATCGAGAAAAATTACAACGCGTGGAAAATTTTCGATGTCCACTCAAAGGAAACAGTAGCAGCACGTGATGTGATCTTATACGAGCGACTCACCCTTCAAACGTACCTCGCCAACTTGCACGAGAATCAATACCCCACAGGTGGTCTTCGTGGTGACCGAGCCTTCGCCTCAGCAGCGGACGAAGCAGACTGGGACAAACAGAACGTCGACAACGCATCGGAAGAAGCCGGACCTCTCCCGTACTGCTCCGTCGACGTGCCCATGGACGAAGACAATCCTCGCGACAGTGTCAACGCCGAAGTCTTCTATCACTTCGCCGACAACGGTTACGTAACACCTGCGACAGTCAACACAAACGAAGCAGAACGGATAGGGCCAAATTTCATACCCGATCCAGAAGCGGGAGACGAAGCAGCTTATCCCGAGGATCCAACACTCCCTCGATACTCACAGACTGGACTGCAAATCCTCGGCCTCGTCACCGCAGTCCACGGCAATGCACTTCCTAAGGAGCCTGCGACGGTTCAGCAGGCTCTGGGGGGGGAACACAGGGAGAAATGGCGCGAAGCCATGGACATAGAGTTAAAGGCACTGGAGGAACGCAACACTTGGAAGGTCGTTCCCGCAAGCGTGGCAAGGAACAAAACCATTCTCACCGGGAAATGGGTCTTCCGCATCAAAACGAAAGCAGACGGCACAATCGAGAAGTTCAAAGCACGCTGGGTCGTGCGTGGATTCGACCAAGAGCAAGGACGAGACTTCACCGAGACATTCGCCCCAGTTAGTCGACATACCTCTCTTCGAATTCTTCTCGCCGTTGCCGCCATGAAGAAGAAGAAACTGCGACAAATCGATGTCGCCAACGCATTTCTCTACGCACCCGTCGACGCCGAAATCTTCGTCGAACTCCCACACGGTACCCACGGAAACCCCAATCAGGTCTGCCAGCTACTGAAATCGCTCTACGGAATCAAACAAGCCCCGCGGCTGTGGCAACAGCACCTACACACCCGGCTCACTCGCATCGGATTCCGCCAACTGCCGCACGACCAAGGAATGTATCGATTCACTAAAGACGCCGATTACATCCTACTGATCGTCTACGTCGACGACCTACTCTACATTGGCTCCACCGACGACATCACCACCTGGTTCGAAGGGGAGCTGCAGAAGGACCTCACGCTCACGGTTTCTTCTACCGTCACCCAGTACCTCGGGCTCAACATCCGCGAAGAAGAAAATGCTATCTACTTAAGCGACCGAGAAATACGCCGACACTATCGCCAAGCGCTTCTCGCTCACACCTATCGCTATCGCCACGCCATACCGCTACACGGCAGGAAGTAACAAAGGAAATTCCGCTCCACTCAAAGCTGCCGGAATACGAGACTACCAGAGGAAACTGGGCTGCCTCCTCTTCGCAGCCGTCACCTGCCGCCCGGATCTATCCTACTCCGCAAGCCAACTGGCTACCTACCTCAGGAAACCCGAAGCAGAGCACCTGGCGGAGCTCGATCTCGCACTACACTACTTCGTGAGCACTCCGACGATCGGCCTGACTTACTACAAAAACGAAACTACGACCACGAAACTAATCGGCTACGTCGATGCCGATCATGCCGGCGATTCCGACAATAGGCGCTCTCGCACTGGCTACGTCTATCGTCTCGAGCCTATCGGACCTATCTCCTGGCAGTCGAGCAAGCAGGAACTAATCGCTCTCTCTTCAGCTGAAGCAGAATATATCGCCCTCTGCTCAGCCACCAAGAAAGGACTCTACCTTCGCGAGCTGCTGGAAGAAGCAAAGTTAGCCGAGTTACCCAACTTCACCCTATTCTGCGACAACCAATCTGCAATTCGCATCGCCAACAAAAGCGGATTCGCGAACAGAACGAAGCATATCGCTCTGCGATACTTCTTCGTGAAAGACGAGATCGAGAAAGGGAAACTCGAATTATCCTACTGTCCCACGTCCGAGATGGCAGCCGATTACTTGACCAAGAAACTCGGAAAACAGAAGTTCGAGTACTGCATGCTGCTGACTGGACAAAGCCACATCACCATTAGCGACACTCCAGAAGCGAAGGGGAGTGTTGGGAACAATAAATCTTAAAGCGCCTCTATCGTGTCTAAACTCAGGACACAAGCGAAGCAGTCCAAATCGAAGCATCGCGAGTCAACCCTCGGAGGTTAGGGTAACCGCCTGGAGGTTACGCGAAGGTCAAAAGTCAGCGACCTTTGACTTGACAAATACAGCGCGACAGCAAGGACACACAACCGACTCGACATTGAGCAGTTGCCCGAGTCGCACTGTATCGAATCGCAACAGCAAAACAGTTTAATCTATTTGTATTCCTTGTACTCTTATATAAAGCCTTGTATTTGCTTGTTTTAATCAACTTACTTTGCCCTCACATACTAGCGCAAGGTGGTTCAAGGACTTTTCATTCAAACGCTTCCGCTATTACAATCCTACTCAGACTTCAACTCTACAAAGATCCTAGGGCATCTCAGCCCAACAAATATTACAGGTTCAAGACAATCACGAAGCTGTCAATAAGCAGTAAATCTATCAGGTACACTGCAATGCAGCTCTTTTAGTCATTTGTCAAGGAGCTGGCACAAAAATAAAATACAGCACACCATAGAGTCAGTCAGGCACACAGAGGAAGTCATAATCACATATGTCTCCCCCCCTTGCCCGGTCCTCCATTTCCCCACCCCATCCTCCACATTAGCCAACCTTCGCTTCCATGCCACATGTAGAACTCCTCACTTCATTACATGCGAGTTAAAAAACACGCCGCATCACTATGGATCGCATCCCATCCCACCACAAGGTTGTCCTCATCGCACCACACCGCATCACTTGCGCATCTCCACCAGCTTCATCACAAGGTCCTCCAAATCCTTCGGCCGAATCGGCTTGGTCAGAAAGTGGTTCATGCCAGCAGCAAAGCACGCCTCTCTCTCGAAGTCGAACGCGCTGGCAGTGAGCGCTGCGATGAACTTGGGCGGCCGGCTTGGCAGCAGCTGCTCCGCATTACGGATCTGCCTTGTGGCCTCCAGCCCATCCATCTCCGGCATGTGACAGTCCTGCAGAGAGGAAAGGATAAGAATTAGGGAAGGTAGTGAAAGGGGGGGGGATCAGAGGCTAAGAGTGAGCTGATGTGTGAAGGGAGCAGCCATGTTGTTCCCGTAATCTGCGTAGACTAAAATAACTTTGGAATCAGTCCAAAAGAGAAACAGAGCAGAATGTTCTTACGCTCACAGAAGGCACACTCACCATGAGGATGAAATCGTAGTGGTTGTTCTCGCACGCGTGGAGCGCCTTCAGCCCATTCTCTGCCACCTCCGTGGCAATCCCAAGGTTCTTCAACATGCGGGTCACCACCATCTGGTTCACCGTGTTGTCCTCCGCAACCAAAACCTTCCACGTCTTCACACACTCGGGCAGCTTCTCGGGCAGCTCGTCCGTGAAAACCTTCTTGTGACAGCCGTGCCCCCCATGCCCCGAACCTCCTCCTTTTCCGGCATTTACGAGAGATTGGGCACTGCCGGTTCGTTTCACAGAAGCCAGGGGGGAAGTGAGAGGGATGGCTGGGGATGATTTGGAGCAAGGGGAGCGAGGGGGTCTCTCCTGTGTCTTGCATCGCCGAGGGGGAGGCCCGGAGCAGTCTTGTAATGAGTGAGATTTGAAGGACGAGGAGGGTTTAGATATGGCGATAGACACTCGTCGCCCGTTGCTGCCGTTTCTGCTCGTGCTGCTGCTGCTGCCGGTGGTGGCGCTGTTGCTGCTGCTGGTGGAGGTATTGTTGTTGGCCATTTCTTTGAGGTTAGTTGTACTGCTGCTCCTGCGAACACTGCTGCTGCTGCTGCTGCCGCTAGTGCCACTAATCCTCTCCGTGAAGCTGTTTGTGCTTCTGGCCCTATGGATACTTCTACTGCTGCTGCTGCTGCTGCTGCCGCCGCCGCTGCCGCCGCTGTTGCTGTTGCTTGTGTTGCTGCTGCTATTGCTGTCTGCACTCCTGTCGGCGCTCCCTCTGCTGCTCCCTGCGGTTTGTAGGTTCCTGGGTTTACTCTTGCTGCGGGTGAGGAATTTTCCCTCCGTTGCACTCGGTTTCAGCAAGTAATTATCACTCTTAGACTTGCTGAACAGGCTTCGGACAGCAGAGATAGTGGCAGGGCTGGGGGGAGGCGGATAACTAGGAGCAGCAGGAGCAGCAGAAGCAGTAGGAGCAGCAGAAGCAGTGGCAGCAGGGGTAGGAGCAGCAGAGGAAGAGTCATTGTCAGCAGGAGAAGCGGCAGAGATGATGGGAGGCCAGGTGAGGGTGGGTGAAGCAGGAATGGCTGGAGCTGCTGGTGTTGCCGCTGAGGAATTAGGAAGCCGGGATTGACACTCAGAGGCACCCGCTGCACCACTACTAGTGCCGCTACTGGTACTGCTGCTGGTGCTGGTATTGGCCAGCACCGCAATGGGCAGGAAAATCTCCTTAGAATCTGCCCGACGCAGAGCCTTCTTGTGCCGAGGGGTCGGGCTGCGGTTGATTCTCCGGCTCCCTGCAGACCAGATGGACCGAGAAGAAGAAGAAGAGGTGGGAGTTGTCATTTGCGACCGAGACGTCTCAAACATAGCGTCACTGTCGCAATCCATGGAGTGATGTTGTTTCAGCACACGGCCTCCATGTGTGCTTGCTTCTTCCTTGTTCCCTCCCTTCCGAGACCGAGACTTTCGGGACCGGCCAATGGCAATCTCGGTTGCTGCCCGAACCAAGTGCCTCGCCCAATGCTCCTCCTCGTCGTCCGTTTGACTCTCAGGCATGTTGCCCTCTCCTTCCATGTTCATATCATCCTCTACCCCTCCTTCGTCCTCCTCGCCCAGCTCATCCCACTCCTCTTCCTCGCCCTCCTCGTACTCGTCTTCCTCTCCCTCCTCCTCCTCCTCTTCCTCGCTCTCCTCATCGCCAATGCTTTCCTCCCCTGCGCTCTCCACGTCACTTGGAGCGGCTTCTGTGACCCCAAGGCACACTGTAAAGGTGAACGAAGAGCCCTGCAAAAGAATAAAGATAGAGGAGACACATAATGTGTCAGTGAGACACCTAACAAGGCGAAGCATCAAAATCATCTGGCGAAGAAAAAAAAGGAGGGGAAAGAAAAGGTTATAAAGACGCTCTCACCTTTCCTTCTTCGCTTGTAAGGTTAATTTCGCCACCCATGAGGTTGACAAGCGCCCTGCAAATAGCCAAGCCAAGGCCTGTTCCTCCGAACCTCCGACATGTGGAGTTGTCAGCCTGCATAAAAACAAGTGAGCGGATCATTTAGAAACAATCCAAGCTGATAAATATGATCCACATCGACACAAATGAAAGAATCAGCTCTCTAACAGATGATAGAAAATCGTTTTTGGTGTAGATTTATTGCGACGTACCTGATTGAAGGCTTGGAAAAGGTTCTTCTGAGCATGGGGAGGAATCCCGATGCCCGTGTCTTTCACTTCGAACTGCACCACCACTTTATCCATGTCCGCGTTTTCTCTTAGCGGCTCCAAACTCGAGAACGACTCCCGCCGCTTTCCACGGCCCGGAGCGTGCGGATCCACGAGGCTGACGCGCACCGACACGTGTCCCCCGGCCGGCGTGAACTTAATCGCGTTGCTTAGTAGATTAGTGACCACCTGACGCACGCGCATGCAGTCTCCGAAGACCTCGATAGGCACGTCCTTATCGACTCGCGCTTTAATGCGGATGTTTTTCCCGGTTGCGGATCCGTGGAACAGCGCGACACAGTTGCTCACGTTCTCCCGCAACCGCCAGTTGCTAAAATCGAGGACCATCTTCTCGTTCTCGATCTTGCTTAAATCGAGGATGTCGGAGAGAATGTGTAGCAGGCCCTCGGACGACGATCTTAGGGTTTCGAGCAGCGAGCACTGCTCCGGAGAGAGCTGCGTCGCGAGCATCAGATCAGCGACGCCAATGATTCCTGGATGCGGGAGAGTAAAGAAGCGCGGGGAAGGAAGCGCGGGGAAAGAAGCGTGGGAAAGAAGGGGGAAAGGAAAGGGGGGGTGAGCCGTCCGCTCAGCATGCATGATAGTGGCAGTGCGATGACGAGACGTAAATCGAGTGGGATCAGGTGGGAAAATCCAAATCTCACCGTTCATGGGCGTGCGGATCTCGTGGCTCATATTCGCCAAAAACTGCGTCTTCGCCTTGCTCGCCTTCTCCGCCTCCGCCTTCGCCCTCCGCAGCTCCGCCTCCTGTTTCCGCGCCTCCGCCATGTCGTGCCACACCATCAGATACACCGGCTCGCCAAAGAAATTCACCATCTTACATAACACCTCCACCGGTACGTCCTGCCCCTCCTCGTCCTCGAACAGCCAATCGAATCGGTACCGCTTCTCCCCGCCCACCGCGGACGCGCCGCTCAGCACCGTCGCGCCCGGGACTCCTCCCGCGGAGCCCGCGGGCGCGGGGACGTTATTGCTGGCGGCGAGGTCGTCGAGGACGGCCTTGAGGAACGCGGAGCGCTGGCCTGAGGGCTGTTGCGGACGGCAGAGTTCCCAGGGGGTCTTGCCTAGGAGCGATTCCTTGGTGCCGCACTTGAGAATGCGGATGGCGGACTGGTTGCAGTCAAACACGCGCCCATCCTGGTTGAGCAGCAGCTTGGGATCCTGAAGGTGCGGGAAGAGGGGAAGAGGGGAAGAGCGAGACAGAGAGAGAAAGAAGGCCAGTAAAGGTGAGAAACGAAGCGCATGCACTCGGAAGGAAGCTATGGATTGCATGGAGGATTCACGCGAGGGGGTGGTGGTTTCGACCGAGGCAGCACGCACCGAGGAGAGCTCGAAGAGCCTGCGGAACTTGAACTGGTTCTTGCGGCTCTCGGTGATGTCATTCACGAGCCACACGTGGACGAAAGCATGCATATGCAAGAGAGCATAATAGAGAGACTGGGGCAGCACATACCGAGGACAGTTCGAAGAGCATGCGGAACTTGAACTGGTTCTTGCGGCTCTCGGTGATGTCATTCACGAGCCACATTTCCCCCAGGTCAAACTGATACGTCGTCACATCCACCACCAGCTTCGACCCGTCCTTCTTCTTAATCTGCTGCACCGTGTTCGTCACATCCTTGCTGCTCCCAGACACGCGCCGAGCCTCGTGGAGCTGCCTCGCGCGGCGCGCTTTTTCCGCATATAGTGTAGTGAACCATTTGTCGACGCTGTTAATGGAGCCCTTTTCGCAGCCCAGCATGGCCTCGAGAGTGCTGTTGACGAGGATGGTCTCACCCTCTTCGCCCGCATGTGAGATCAAGACAGCGCCAGCCGGGAAGTGTTCTACCATCATTCTATAATTCTCCATGTGTTGCTCCTGAGAGAGGAGGGGGGGGGGGGGGGGGGGGGGGGGGGAGGGAATGAGGGAAGGGTAAGAGGGTGAGGAGAGCCCAGCATGGCTTTGAGCGCGCTGTGAACGAGGATGGTCTCGCCCTCCTCGCCCGCGTGGGAGATTAGCACCGCGCCGGCAGGGAAGTGCTCCACCATCATGCGGCAGTTCTCCATGTGCTGCTCCTCAGGAAGGAGGGGTGGGGAAGAGGTGGCAACGAGAGGAAGGGAAGCTGGGGTGCGTGAGTGAGGGCGAGAGGATGCCTAACAGCCCGCAGGGAAGTGCTCCACCTTCATGCGGCAGTTCTCCATGTGTTGCTCCTAAGAGGGGGGGGAGGGGGGGAGAGGAGGGGGAGGAGGGGGAGATGGGGGAAGAGGTGGCAGGGAGGAGGGAAAGTTGAGCCTTGTGGGAAAGCTTAATTGCAGAATCACAATGCTTACCAGGGCCTTGTGGGAAAGCTTAATTGCAGAATCACAATGCTTACCAGGGCCTTGTGGGAAAGCTTAATTGCAGAATCACAATGCTTACCAGGGCCTTGTGGGAAAGCTTAATTGCAGAATCACAATGCTTACCAGGGCCTTGTGGGAAAGCTTAATTGCAGAATCACAATGCTTACCAGGGCCTTGTGGGAAAGCTTAATTGCAGAATCACAATGCTTACCAGGGCCTTGTGGGAAAGCTTAATCGCAGAATCACAGTGCTTAACAGGGCCTTGTGGGAAAGCTTAATTGCAGAATCACAATGCTTACCAGGGCCTTCTGGGCGCTGATGTCTTGGAACATGCAGAGCACCGCCGTGTGCTCTCTGACTGCTAGTTGACTCTTGAGTCAACTCTGACTGCATTCCAAACAAGTCACAATGCTTACCAGGGCCTTCTGGGCGCTGATGTCTTGAAACATGCAGAGCACCGCCGTGTGCTCTCTGACTGCTGCTCGCCCCACATCACTCCCACTTGAACCGCTCTCATGGCTGCTCGTGCGACTCATGTTGCTGGCATCTGTGTCGCCGGCAACAGCGGCAGGAGCGGCAGCAGCAGGAGCAGCAGCACCAGCAGCCGCTGCAGCCGTCATGGCACCAATGGGAGCGGCAGCAGTAGCAGTAGAGGCAGGTGGGGTGGCAGCAGGCGCAGCAGCAGAGGGGGCAGCAGCAGAGGGGGCAGCAGCAGACGAGCCAGAAGTGGATAGGCTAGTCATAGTGATCCGAACTGCCACTGTGGTTCGGTCAATCTTTCTCAACCGAATCTCCTGTTGCGTCCACTCCTGAGTACCCTGCTGCACCTTGCTGTACTCCTCCTGAATTGTTTGAGAATGTGGGAGGAGGGGGATGGGAGAGGGAAAAGTGAGGTTAGAGGAAGGGGAAAAGGGAAAAGGTTATGCGGCAGGAAGGCTTATTTTTCAAATGACGAAAATGGGAGTGAATACTGTGAAAGTGATGATTGGAGGCATGGTGGGAGCGAGGGTAAGTAGTAAGGAGGGAGAAAACGGGGATAAGGGAAGTTGTGCAATGACGTGAGGGAGAAAAGAAAGCGGGACTTACAGCGAAAGTAGCCTTCTCAGATTCTGCAACGAAGTGTTGTAACGTCTGCCCCATGATGTAAGGCTCTGGGAATCCGAGGATGCATGTTGCGCTGGTGTTACAGCTGGTTACCACACCGTCTACACCCTCTAGAACTACTGTTCCCAGTCCAGCGTAGTTCTGCAGCTGCAGAACCGCTTGCGCCTGCTGCACCTCCCGCTGCTGCTCAGCGTGAGACTGGAGGACTTGAACTGCAAAGCAGAGGGGGGATAGGAAGAATAAATACCGAGGAAAAGGACGTGAGTAGGGTTGATTTGATGTACATTTTCGCTGATAAAAGGCATCAGATGAGATAGAAGAGAACAATAATGAGCTTCTGCAGCTGCAACATTTGTTTGTGCTGATGCTGGGCCTAAAGAGAGGATGTTACATTGGAGGTAAGTCAATATTACCTGTGGCAACAAGGTCCTTGGAGGAATTCAATTGGAAGTACTGTAGCTCCACCGTAACTCGCCGAAAGTCACCCGACTCGTCCACCTCCGCTGTACTCATCCCCGTTACAAAATCGCTGCTCGACATTTCTGCCTCCTCCTCCCGTGAGCTCACCTCCCCCATTCGCGTATCTGCTGCCTCCGCTTCCCCCGTCGCAACGGTTTCGACTCCGCCAGTTGTGTTTTCCCCCCCTCTGACACTGCACCCCTCCTCCACTTCCCCTCTCCGCTTGACCGAATTTGACCCGAACAAACTCTTCAGACCTTTCCGCCACTCTCTCCCCCTGCCCGCTGGTCTCTGCTGCGGGGGCATAGCTGCGTGCGTAGAAACGCTTTCCCCCGACCCTTCCGCCAGCGCTGGCTCCCCGCGCTGTTCGCCGTCGATTTGCATCCGCTCCTGCTGCGACTGCTGCGGCGAACCCTGCAAGCTCAATTCGCCAGATTCACTCTCCGTTGCACCTTTTACCCCACGTTTCTCCGTCTTACGTCCGCGAATCGACATCATCCTTCCAGGCCCTCGCCGTCCCGCGCTTGCGCTGCCCCCTTCGCTGGGCACCGGCGAAACAGCGTTGTTGGCAGTCGTTCCTTCCGCTTCCGGCGGCGAGGGGAGGGCCGGGGTGGGCGCGCGCGCAACCATCAGATTTGCGCCCATTCGGCCCGCGCCAGCCGCGTTGGGAGTTCCGCTCATGGCGGGAAGACAGTTCCGGATGATGCTGTTCGGGGAGGGGGTTGGCGGGGAGGTAAGGCCGCCGTCCCACGGGCTCGAGCCGCCGTGCCGGTCGTTGCTGCTGCTGCTTCGTCCGCTGCTACTGCTGTCGGTCGAATCCGTTGCCGGAAGAAGCGGCGGGAGGGACGACGAAGACGGAAGCTTTTGCAACACTCTCGGAGACGCACGCAATATCGAAGGGGTCCGGTCACCAGACGAAGCGCCCTCTTTTGAGGCTCCTTCGTTGTACGCACTCCCCGCATGTTCTGCGGCCCAGAAGGAGGCGGGAGCGTCAGTTCCGGCGTTGTTCCCGCCGCCGGCCGCGCTGCCGCCGTTCTCGGGAATCGCTTCGTTGCAGGAGCCCGCTCGACCAAACGACGCAGTCCGTATTCTGCGGGGATACGACCCGCGACCCGCACCAGAAGAGTCGCGCCTCGCGGCAGTCGCATCAGTGGAACTCGAGCCACCACTGCCACTGGACGGGATTGATGGTGGTGTCGGGATGGTCTTGGGAATATCGATTTCCGGTAAGTCGACTTTTAAGACATCACTGGGTCGAGTGGAGTTTCTACCACTGCTGGTGACTGAACCGGCATTGGCTTGGCTTGCGGGGGCCAGCCAATCGCTGGAGGCGCGGCTCGCGGCTGGGTCAATCGTGGCCGTTGCGGGTTGGTGAAATGAACGGTCGGACGACGACGGCCTGGATTCTCTCGGGGTACCCGCAACTGATTTTCTAGGAGTTGCCATAGACGCTGACGCGGCCGCTGATGACGTGGAGAATCGCATGGACATCCGAGGCTGCTTGGCCCGAATGATGCCGGGCAGATGAACCTTTTCCACCTTCCCGCGGCTGAGTTGGCGAATCAAATGGCGCCATTTGTTCTGCGAGAGAAAGGTAATATCGAGGAGCGACGTCTGGTCATTGACAGCCGGACCCAGCGTGCGCGACGCGCCTTTACTCGAGCCGAGAATCGCGGCTGTGGTCGGGTCGACAAGGAACTGAACCGCCATGGATTGCTGCACGATTGCCGCCATCCCAGTCGGCTTGGGTGCGGCAAACAAGGCGGGACCTGCGGCGCCATTTGCGCCGACAGAGCCGCCTCCACCAGCCATTGGTCTGCGCGGTTTGCCTAATTATAGACTTTCCAATGCGCTTAATTTGGTCCTAATAGCCTTTTCCCTCACTGTGCTGCGACCGAGACGCGGGAGAGAGTAAGATATTAGTACGAATTTGATGGGATTACATACAGCTCAGTATCGAATGTTGCTCCATGTCCGATCGTGGTCAAATCTCCAGCGAATCGAAGTGAGGTAACTAATGGGGTCGGTCGGAACGTCAGACAGTCAGCGTGTTAGGAGCTGGACTATTTCCTTCGATTTTGAAAAAACAAGGAATCTTCTACAATGCTTTGCTGTGTCTAGCCTCTTCTAGAATGCTCGTCCTACAGTGGTGTAAGAGGCGCTGGATTGTCCCTCAGGTAATTGCCCTAGTGACGATACCTTGGGACGGATGCGAATTCGAAACGCGAGGGCCTGAGCTGAATGTCCAGGCTCAAACTCCGTAGGGCTCGACCGTGACCCTTCGTGAACGTGGAGCGCCAATTTGCGGCCACACGTTCTCGAGTTGTTGTGGGCCGTGTGTACAAGTGCTGCGTTGGGTTGGGATGGGAATCACGGGCATCTCAGTTACCTGAGCCCAGCAGGCTCACAAGCTGAATGAGTTTCAGGCGCGAGCAGGAGCGAGTGAGAGAAAGCGAGAGAGGGAGAGAGAGATGAGATGATAAGCTGGAGTGGAGAGAGAGTGTGTGTACAATTTAGCGCACGGCAGGACAGCACCAGACAGTGTAGACGTATGTAAGCTCTAAAATGGAGGTAAGGTACATGCGGGCCTAATAGGCTCCTCTGGAGATTCACTGGCAGCTTGTCGGCTCACCAATTGCCGCTAAAAATGCTTCGTTCCATGGCGGTTGCGATAATTTCATCCGCTTGATTTGTGGATGATGTATGGACGGGGTTGAAGCTGCCGCGACAGCCACAGCCTAGGAACAGCATTGTTGAATGCAGATATGATGCTAACGACATTGTAGTTCCTGCGATAACATCGTCACAACAAAGCCTATGGAACAGAGACGCGAGACCAGAGACAAATCACCCTCTGCAAAGGAGACGGACATGAGCGGCAACATAGCGAATGCCGACAAAGCAGTAGCAATTCGAAAATCGATGGTGTAGGAAGGATACACCTTTTTTTGCGCTACACTGATAACGAGATTCACAGGCTACAGTACTTACTGTTGCTTGGAACGTAGCGGTCTCGTGCTTACAGCCCAACTGCAGGTAGTGATGGGCAAATACTCTTCTGGAGAACGGTACACAGCGGTTCTTAAAAACAACCTTGCTTTTGCGTACGGTTGAGTGCGAGAAAACGTGCTTATATCGTATGTGCATGGACCATCCTGGACGCATCGATGTGTGTAAATCCGATCGGTTATTATAGCTATTAACAGTGTAGAGCAAAAAAAGGGTGTACATGCGGCGCGTGCCAAACGGGATGTCTGGCAATGTCTCCTGTCCTCTCGCGTCAGCTGTTATTTTGTGCTACTTTCCATGGCGCACTGTATAGGAAAGCAATCAAGCAAAAAGAAACAATAATTCAACACGTCAGGGTTGCTGGAAGGTCCAACCGACGCTCATTTCAACCGAGCACCTTGCCCACAGCCCGAAGAAAAATTGCGAGGGGCAGTTTCACGAGGGCGCGGGCTTTGGCCACGTAAGCAGAAGATTTGTTGCAAAATGCCAACTCATGCACAAGGACTTCCCGCGAGAGAGATGCAGTGAGAGCGGCCTTGGGCCAGAAAAAACACGTGGTAGCGCTTCGAGCTGATGGTTCAGATGGAGGATTGAGATCCTGCCTCCCCAGCTGTGGAGGTGATTGACGCAACTGGGAACAGTTTCTGGTGGTGGATAAGCAACGGATGCGTTCATGCCACTGCATGTACAGAACAGTACCAATATCGGTGAGATTTTTGCGTCAGATTCATCTCGCCTGGATTATCTCCATCACCAGTTCTCCGACGTGGGCTGTCCACAAGAATCCAACGACCAATTACCCTACGCTGCACGGACTCCAGAAAGCCACCCAGGTTCATAATCGTTAGGAGGTTTTCCCCTAATGAAACAAGCCCTCATTGTTCAGCAAAACCCATCATTGTTCTACACCTACTATCAAAGTATTTCAGCAAAACCCTCAAGACACAGTGCTAGCTCCAATGAAGCCAACTCAAGTAAACAAAATCTCATGGCTGAGCCAAAGCATGTCAGCTATTTGCAAAATAAATAGGACGGGTATGTTGTCACGGTATAATACAGCACACATTTTTTTTTCATATATATAACAACTTCGTTCGATCACAGGGAGCTAAGGCTCCATTCGCATTCCATTAGGTTCATTGTTGTCAAGTGGGCGCTCTTCACTCCTGCAGCACACAGCCAACATGAAGACATGAAGAAATCTCATAGTACACACTCGAAATTGCAACTCTGGAATGCGCAACTCAACACATGGCTTGGCTACAAAGACAGCAATATTTGTGGCAAGAAAAGAGAATAGACGAAAAAATAGTAAGCAAAAACCACGGGACCTTGGAGAGCTGATGTGATGAGTCACCCTGCAGCCAGCGCATGGAGCTCTTTCTAAGGACGCGGCACCTGTATTCATAATGCCAGGATCGACCGTGGGAGGGGATCGATATGCCCCTCGTACAGTATATTGGCGACATTACCAATGCCTGGTATCCATTTTTCGCAGGGAAATCTAGAAGGTACAGTAAACGGGTACCCAAGATGGTGGCACCTGCAGCTCCCACGATCGATGTGCCCAAGTGCACGCATCGATCGTGCGTTTGGGTTGGCGGGAGGGTACAACGCGCCACAGGTGACAGACGTGACGTGACCGATCGGCGTCGCCCAAGGTCGCAGGCCAAAATTGATTGGATAACGACCAGATGTGCTTCGCTCTGAATGGATAACGACCAAGTTGTTGGTGTATTCCGCCTCCCGCCCGAACATGCGATTTCGATCCTGGCACCCATGGCTCGACGTGTCTACCACACTGCAAATTTGCAGTGTGTGCACATCGGTGTGCCGGTCGATGTGGGAGAATCGGTGTACGGGCTTCGATCCTCCCTCGATCCTGGCAAAGCCAAAACATGTGCCGCGTCCCGAGGTGACTCAAGAGAGAGAGCATCAACTTACAGCATCTTGGAGAGCTGGTTGGTGAGGCGGCCCTCCCCAGGGTAGAAGCACTGAGCGCCCTGCAGCCAGCGCATGGACCTCTTGCGCGTCTTGGCCGCCTGCCTCACCGCCTTCACCAGCTCTGCAAACAGCCTCTGATCGTCCACCGTGCTGGTGAGGAAGAGGGGATTGGGGTTGGCGGCATGTGTGGGAAGGGAAGTGGGAGGGGGGAAGGAGGGGGAGGTGGGGGAGGGTGAGAGAGATGGCAGGATCGAGCTGGAAATACCTTGCTGCCTGCCTCACCGCCTTCACCAGCTCTGCCCCCCTCACAAACTCCAAAACAAACAGCCTCTGATCGTGAAACACCACTTACCTCTTTTGAGACGCGTTTTGCGGCGACTTTTGAGGCGCCTCAGAAGTCCTCACCCCCCTCACAAGCGCTACAACAAACAGCATCTGATCGTGAACCACCACTAACTTCTCCTCCCTGGGGAACCAGTGAGCTGGTACGTGGCCTTGGAGTGGATGATCTGCCGCAGCGCCTCACCTTCTGCTGTGTGACATTACGTGCCCCTTTCGACAGCACCACCACTCACCTCCCTTCACACACCTCCATCTCACCTCACCGCACCACCACTCACCTCTCTTCGCACACCTCCATCTCACCTCACAGCACCACCACTCACCTCTCTTCACTGGCGAACCAGCTCAGAATATGATAAGTCGCCTTGGAGTGGATGATATGTCGCAGCGCCTCCTTCTGCCCACTGCCCACTGCCCCTGGACCTCACCTTAGAAACAGAGCACACACAGCACCACCACTCACCTCTCTTCACTGGTGAACCAGCTCAGAAAATGGTACATGGGCTTGGAGTGGATGATCTGCCGCAGAGCCTCAACTTCTGCCCTTGGCCCTTCCGTGCCCCTTCACCCTTTGACAACACTCCTCACCTCTCCGCACCGCACAGCACCAAAACTCACCTCTCCTCGCTTGTAAACCAGCTGAGAATGTGGTAAGTCGCCTTGGAGTGGATGATCTGCCTTAGCGCCTCCTTCTGCACCTTGCGTTTCTTCTCAGCCTTCACCAGCAGAGCCAGGTTCGACTGGAACGCAAAAGTCAACTCAGCCATGTCCAGATTCGCCTGCACCACCTCCATCCCCCCCCCGCCCGCCCCTCCGATCGCCGCCCCTCCCGAACTCCCCGGTCGGCTGATTGCCCCTCGCATGATCCCTCCTCCCGCTCCTGGCGTTCCTGCTGTACCAGGCCTGCTCCCTGCCCCTCCCCCTCCCGCTCCTGCTCCCGCTCCTGCTCCTGCTGCTGCTCCCTCTGTGTCGCTGTCATCTCGATCCGACAGCTGCCTGAGAAGCCGCTTCTTTGGCTTTGAGTCTCCATCCCCACCACCATTAACAGCAGCCGCAGGCGCAGGGGCCGCAGGGGCAGCAGGGGTAACAGGAGTTTCAGGCATGCCAGTCGGGGTTTCCGGGGCAACAGGGTACGGCGTTCTAGCCTCCTCTCCTCCTCCCCATCCCCCGCCTCCTCCCGTAGGAGTCCCAGCCATCCCACCAGCACCCATCCTCCCGCTCCCGAACCTCTTCGTCGCCGCAAGGGGATCGAATCCCGAAGCAGGGCACCAGTGCACTTTCCTCCCAAGCTGCGGAGGCCAACTCTTCTCAGCAATCTTGAGACTCTTAACAGGTTTCTCCCTCATACTGGCCCCTCCAGGTGTGTTCGACCCCCAGCTCACCATTCTCCTCAGCCCACTCCCAGGAGTCTCCGGCCCTCCCTCTCCCATCCCTCCCCCGAACGAAACCCGGCTGCTTCGCGACTTGGTCCGGCGGTTGGTTCGGCGCCGAGCCGCCGCCGCAGCCTGGGCAGCCGTGCACGCCCCGTCCGCATGCCACACCCCGTGCAGCAGACAGTACACTCCCTGAGGTGGTAACCGCGCGACGGGGATGTAACCCTTTTTGTTTCCGAGGAGGATTTGGGAGAGACCGGCGTACTGCTGGGGCTTTTTCAGCTGCTCGATCCACTCGACCTCCCCGAGGCCTGCCAGGGAGCACGCTTGCACGCGGTCGCGCACCCTCAGCAGCAGGTCAATGCCCTGACGATGATGAAGGAACTGGAAGAGAGCACGCGGGCGGAACCACCCTCCTATCTGGTGATGCAAGGGGTATGCACGGGAGGGGAGGCGAGGGAAGTGGATAGGGAGACTAAGGTGAGGATCTGGGAGAGACCCGTGTACTGCTGGGGTTATCTCAGCTGCTCGATCCACTCGACCTCCCCGAGGCCTGCCAGGGAGCACGCTTGCACGCGGTCCCGCACCCTCAGCAGCAGGTCAATGCCCTGACGATGATGAAGGAACTGGAAGAGAGCACGCGGCCAGCTATGTGGAGAAAGACGCACGCGTCCTGCTGCGTCGTGCGTCTGGACGCAGCGTCCAGACGCAGAGACGCAGGACGCTCGTCTAGACGCAGGACGCACCCCGCTTTTTTTTCGGGCTGACCGGAATTTTTTTTTTGCCTCAGCGCAAAATTGACTTCAACGATTTCGACGCGAATCTCAATTTCGCGTCATGTCGACCCCCCCTAACCCATTTCGACCATCAAAAACACCCTAGAGGGTTTACCAAGACAATTCTCCTTCGTAAACCCTAAACCCTGGAAATGTTAAGGGGACGATTTTGCCTCAAATGTGTGCATCGTCGTTCCCCCCCCCCCCCCTTCCCATACCCTATAACATCATTTTTCGACTGCCCAGGGGTTTTTTTTGCCCTGCCCGGGCATGCGTCTTTTCATGCGTCCTAAAGGCCCTCCTCTAGCGTCCTGCGTCTAAGACGCTGCGTCTGGACGCAAGCGTCCTAGACGCAGGACGCGTTTTTCTCCACATAGGCGGCCGGAACCACCCTCCGATCTGGAAGGGCGGGAGGAAGGAAGGGAGGAAGAGAGCATGCTTGCACGCGGTCCCGCACCCTCAGCAGCAGGCCAATTCCCTGGCGGTGGTGCAGGAACTGGAAGAGCGCACGCGAGCGGAACCACTCTCCTATCTGATAAGGTGAGAGGGACGCAAGGGAGGGGGGGGAAGGGAGGTTGACGCCCTCAGCAGCAGGTCGATGTCCTGACAGTGATGCACGAACTGGAAGAGCGCCAGTGGGCGGAAGGGGGGAACCGCTCTCCTATCTGCGAGGGTGGGGAAAAGGGGAAGGAGAAGAAAGGGAGGAGGGGGAGGGGAGGCATAGGGAGGAACGTGGGCTTGGGTTGGCACCCTCAGCAGCAGGTCAATGCCCTGGCAGGGTGCAGGAACTGGGAAGAGAGCTCCAGGTCGGAACCACTCTCCAAGCCAGGTGCACAAATGCACCCACCCACCCGCCCACCCATGCTCGCACCCACCCTCCCACCCATCTCCCCACCCACCTGCGTCAGCTGCACGATCTGGCAGGGGTCGAGCCCCCTCAGCTGGTCCTCCCACTTGGTGTTTGTTCTCACAGGCAGGCAGGCAGGCACGGACGCTTTTGAGTCGACTGCAAAGACGAGCCCCTGCTTTTGAGTCGACTGCAAAGACGAGCCCCTGCTTTTGAGTCGACTGCAAAGACGAGCCCCTGCTTTTGAGTCGACTGCAAAGACGAGCCCCTGCTTTTGAGTCGACTGCAAAGACGAGCCCCTGCTTTTGAGTCGACTGCAAAGACGAGCCCCTGCTTTTGAGTCGACTGCAAAGACGAGCCCCTGCTTTTGAGTCGACTGCAAAGACGAGCCCCTGCTTTTGAGTCGACTGCAAAGACGAGCCCCTGCTTTTGAGTCGACTGCAAAGACGAGCCCCTGCTTTTGAGTCGACTGCAAAGACGAGCCCCTGCTTTTGAGTCGACTGCAAAGACGAGCCCCTGCTTTTGAGTCGACTGCAAAGACGAGCCCCTGCTTTTGAGTCGACTGCAAAGACGAGCCCCTGCTTTTGAGTCGACTGCAAAGACGAGCCCCTGCTTTTGAGTCGACTGCAAAGACGAGCCCCTGCTTTTGAGTCGACTGCAAAGACGAGCCCCTGCTTTTGAGTCGACTCAAAAGCCGTGTTTGTTCCCACAGACAGGCAGGCACGGACGCACACCACGGATCAACCACCCACCCACCTGTGTCAGCTGCACGATCTGGTACGGGTCGAGCCCCCTCAGCTGGTCCTCTCTCTCTCCTGACTCCAACACACAGGCGCACGGGCAGACACAGGCACACACATGCATGCACAAACACAGACACCCCCACCCACCTGCGTCAGCTGCACGATTTGATAAGGGTCGAGCCCCCTCAGCTGGTCCTCTCTCTTGCCGCTCTCCTGCTCCCAGATCTCGTCCAGCACACTGTTGTTAAACGCCTCCATTCGCTTGCTCGACACCTCGTAGCTGATGGCCACGATGGCGGGCAGCAGCATGAGGACGGTGCTGATGGCCATGATGACCTCTGAGAGGATGGACTCGGATGTGTAGTTGAATATGAGCAGCGACAGCGTGAAAAACACCTCTCCTGGGGGAGGGGAAGGAGGGGAGAACAGGGAATAGGAAGGGGGGCAGGAGGAGGGAAAGAGGGGGGAAAGGCTTTGGAAGGAGCAGAAGGGAGCATGAGGAGGAGAAGGGAAAGTAGCTCGAGACCTCGTAGCTGATGGCCACGATGGCGGGCAGCAGCATGAGGACGGTGCTGATGGCCATGATGACCTCTGAGAGGATGGACTCGGATGTGTAGTTGAAGATGAGCAGAGATAGCGTGAAAAACACCTCTCTCTTTCAGGTGCCTATCACAGCAACACTGTGTGGGGTTACGTACCGAGGTTGAGGGTGGTCTGAAGGTACTCGACAGAGGAGGACGCGAACGGTGCAAAGCGGAACTCTAGAGGAGGTTCAAGGGAAACTTATGCACAGAGCAAATCAGCACTCACCGAGGTTGAGGGTGGCCTGAAGGTACTCGACAGAGGAGGAGGTGAACGGTGCAAAGCGGTACTCGACGACAATGCGGAGGATCTGGAGGACGACGAGGATGATGATCTGAGCCTCGGGGTTCTCGTAGAGGAAGACGAGGATGCATCCGTACAGCACCCGGAGAGACATGTTGAGCAGGTGCCACCTGGGGGAGGGGTGGTGAAGAGGGGGTGTACACAGGGAAAGGGGAAGGAGGGTGAGCCTCGGGGCTCTCGTAGGGGAAGACAAGGATGCAGCCGTAGAGCACTCGCAGCGACATGTTGAGCAGGTGCCACCTGGGGGAGGGGTGATGGGTTTTGTGGAGGTGAAGGGGAAGCGAGGGGGGGGAGGGGAGTGAGCCTCGGGGTTCTGGTAGAGGAACACGAGGATGCCTCCGTACAGCACCCAGAGCGACATGTTGAGCAGGTGCCACCTGGAGGGCTGGGGTTGAGAAAAAGGGGAGATGGGAAAGGGGAATGAATCTCGGGGTTCTGGTAGAGGAAGACGAGGATGCATCCGTACAGCACTCGCAACGACATGTTGAGCAGGTGCCACCTGGGGGAAAAGAGAGGGAGGAGACGGTGGGGGACAAGAGGGGTGGGGAACGGGAGGGGAGGAAAGGAAGATGGCAGGAATTATCAGCCAAGAGTACAGCCAACGGTGAGTTAGCAGCACACTCACACCCTACAGCACCTTCACCAGCAGCAGCACCAGTGGCAGCACCAGAACCAGCACACCCTCTCCCCCAGCAGCACCAGCACCACGAGAGCCCTTACCAGTAGAATTTGCGGCCGAATCGCTCGGTGAGAAAAGCGTATTTGTCGTCAAACTCGGCGGTGAAGAGCGTGCGGTTCCACTTGGCTGAGAAGAGCAGCCACGCATAGAGCAGGGGCATGAATAGCAGCACCCTCACCTCCAGCAGCACCAGTACCAGCAGCAGCAGCACCAAACTCACCAGAATTAGCACCACACAACACCCTCGTTCCCAGCACCACCAGCACCAGCAGCGGAAACCTTACCAGTAGAATTTGCGGCCGAATCGTTCTGTGAGAAAAGCGTATTTGTCGTCAAACTCAGCGGTGAAGAGCGTGCGGTTCCACTTGGCTGAGAAGAGCAGCCACGCGTAGAGCAGCGGCACGCCCGCGAGGTAGACAATGAGGATGATTATAGAGGGGATGAGCATGCCCATGTGCGTCGAGGATAGCCACTCGATCTCCGGAGCGAACAGCATCACCTGGGAGGGAGGGAGAGGGAGGGAAGAGATGGTAACGAGAGGTGAGCGATGAGGTTTGGGACTAGCTTTGATAGACTAAAGAAGGGGAGGATGGAGGGGATGAGCATGCCCATGTGCGTTTAGGATAGCCACTCGATCTCCGGGACAAACAGCATCACCTGGGAGGGGGAAGCAGGGGGCAGGGGGCAGAAGGCATGAGGCATGGGACATAGCTTATGGGGAGGATTGAGAGGTAGACGATGAGGATGATGGTGGAGGGGATGAGCATGCCCGTGTGCGTTGCTGACAGCCACTCAATCTCCGCCTGAATAACCATGTACCACACATCCAGCTAGCTCGCCACTCCCCCCACCAGACCACCCACCCTCCAATCACACACACCCAGCAAACCATACTACACACAAGCACCGCACTAGACACCCCCACACCGCACCTTGGTGTCCCCAACCATCTGGCTCTGGAAGACAGGCAGCACGCGGGCGAGGATACCCATGTAGCACACATCCAGCCAGCTCGCCACGCCCCCCACCAGCCCGTTGCAATACTCCTGCCGCCGCTGCTTCGCCGCCGTGCTGCTCCGCTGCCCCATGCCCAGCCACCCCACTCGTAGCCTCCATTCACAGGCACACCTCTGGAAACCATACCACACATGTGTACCGCACTAAACACCCGCACAGCGTACCTTGGTATCCCCGACCATCTGGCTCTGGAAGACGGGCAGCACGCGGGCGAGAATACCCATGTAACAAACGTCCAGCCAGCTCGCAACACCACCGACCAGCCCGTTGTAATACTCCTGCCTCCGCTGCTTCGCCGCCGTGCTGCTCAGCTGCCCGACTCCGCTCGTCTCGCCGTTTTCAGCTGTCCGTTTCGCCTTGAGCAGCTTGATATGCTCGCGGAGGAGGAAGAGGCACCAGTGCAGCGCGTAGACCACGAGGCCGACGAGGAAGATGAGGATTCCGAAGACGAACTGCTGCGGGAAGCGGTAGGTTAGCACACAGTTGGGTCCCACCACGTCCTGCAGTTGTGGGGGGAAGGGGGACGGGGGAGAGGGAGAGGAGAGAACGGGAAAGGAGGGGGAAGGTGAGTGGAAGAGGGGAGGGAGAGAAGGGGAGCTGTCCTCTTGGCGTTGAGCAGCTTGATGTGTTGGCGGAAGAGGAAGAGGCACCAGTGGAGAGCGTAGACGACGAGGCAGATGAGGATTCCAAACACAAACTGCTGCGGGAAGCGGTAGGTCAGCACACAGTTGGGTCCCACCACGTCCTGCAGTTGTGGGGGGAAGGGGGACGGGGGAGAGGGAGAGGAGAGACGGGGACGAGTGGGGAGGGTGGAGGGGGGGGAAGGGGAGAGGAGGGCAGAGGGAGGGGGAAGGGCGCAACAGGGAAGCATGGGGAGGTAAGTAGGGTGGAGAGACGGAGTGGGGAAGATGGGGTTGTGTAGGGTGAGGTGACGAAGAGAAGAATGCGTGGCTGCAACATCACGACTCGTAAAGCTCTACACCTGATGGTGGTGTAGCTTGAATTGAAAATGCACGCGGATTTCACTCACGGGGTCGAAGACGGAGAGGTTGTGGATCTTGATGGGCCATGCTTGCACACATGCGCATGCAAGGCTGAGGTTATGGGAAGAGAAGCAAGCAGCAAGCATGCATGCACGAGACAGCGTGGCACTCACGGGGTCGAACTTCCAAGACGGAAAGGTTGTAGATCTTGATGAGCCATCCCACCCACCCATTTGGCAAGTGACCCATGGAACACCACAGGTTCGTTCAGTGCATGGTAGCATGCGTGCATGCATGTGCGTGGCACTCACGGGGTCGAAGACGGAGAGGTTGTAGATCTTGATGAGCCACCCCACCCATCCATTTGGCGCTGCTGGTGCGTTCAGGTTTATGGAGGCCACGACCGTGAGGTATTGCACCTGGTAGGGCGATGGGGGAAGGGGCCGGGCGTGGGTGATGTTAAAGAGCAGGGTTGACAGGCCTGCTGCATTCAGCGTTCAGGTTTATGGAGGCCACGACTGTGAGGTATTGCACCTGGTGAGGGTGTATGGAAGGGACATCAAAGGGATTTTGAAGGAGGGAAAAGAGGTTCGGGTTGATAAATCAGGCTCATGGGCGGCGGGGTTAATGCACCTGGTGGGGTCGAGTACATGCCTCGCAGGTATGGAACCTGGAGGTACCTCGGTGAGAAAGATGTCAATGTTGTCGTAGTTGCTGGCACGGAGAAACATGGCGACCCACACGTTTGAGGCGCCTCAAACGTTGGCACGGAGAAACATGGCCACCCACACTCCCAACCCTGAGGAATTTCGAGACTTTTCAAAGATAGTCTCACAAGTTGTACGTACGCACATGTGCCTGGCAAGCAAGTACCTCGGTGAGAAAGATGTCTATGTTGTCATAGTTGTTGGCGAGGGGGAGGAGCAGGAAGGAAGGGCTACTACTTTGGAGTTGACTTAAACGGCATGTATCTAGCATGGAAACTGGAGGTACCTCGGTGAGAAAGATGTCGATGTTGTCATAGTTGTTGGCAAGGAGAAACATGGCCACCCACACTCCAATCATGAGGATGAAGAGCAGCGGGAAGAGCTGTGTGGAAAGGGGGAGGGGAGGGGTAGGGGGTGCAATGCAAGACAGGTGTGAGCACATGAGTGGTTGTTGGCAAGGAGAAACATGGCCACCCACACTCCAATCATGAGGATGAAGAGCAGCGGGAAGAGCTGTGTGGGAGGGAAGTGGGGGAAACGGGGTAGTAGGGGTGGGTTGACAGGGAAGTGGCAGGAGATGGGGAGTGAAGGCGCATACATACAGGGCACAGAGGTACGGAGGGACACACAGGTGTGAGTGAGAACACAAGTGGTTGTTGGCGAGAGCATGTACCTAAGAGTTACATCGGGTATTGATTTGAATCAAAAACAGGAACAATAATACCCACAGACATTGGTTGGCAAGCACATGTGCCATAAGAGTTACAGCGTACCTTCTTGAAAACGTCGCTGCAGTAGTTACAATCGCCGAGGAACGAGTAGTAGTTGTTGGCGCACAGACAGCACATGCTGCAGGTAGAGGTGAAGGGGAACGAGGAAAAGGAAGGAAAGGCTTTCGAGTCGACTCTAAGTACAATCGCCGAGGAACGAGTAGTAGTTGTTGGCGCACAGACAGCACATGCTGCAAGGGGGGATGATGGAGGGACGGAGGAACAGGAAGGACAGGGGGGATGCAGAAGGGGGATGGGGTGGGCCAAGCAGAGGAGAGATCCTTGAGATGTAGAATCACGGACAGCACATGCCGCAGGGAGAGACGGAAGGACCGAGAAACAGGAAGAAACAGGGGCAAGGTGGAGGGGGTGGGCGAGGGGGGAGATACTTGAGATGTTTCGAACATGTCTGGCACATTGGTGCACTACAGCGGAGGGCGGAGGGAACTTTTGAGGCGCCTCAGAAATAATTGAGATGTTTCGAACATGTCTGGCACATTGGTGCACTACAGCGGAGGGCGGAGGGAACTTTTGAGGCGCCTCAAAACTTTTGAGGCGCCTCAGAAATACTTGAGATGTTTTGAACATGTCTGGCACATTGGTGCACTACAGCGGAGGGCGGAGGGAACTTTTGGGGCGCCTCAGAAATACTTGAGATGTTTCGAACATGTCTGGCACATTGGTGCACTACAGCGGAGGGCGGAGGGAACTTTTGAGGCGCCTCAGAAATACTTGAGATGTTTCGAACATGTCTGGCACATTGGTGCACTACAGCGGAGGGCGAAGGGACCAAGGAGCATGATAAAGGAAGGGAGAGGGAGGGGCCAAGGCAGCAGCACACTCACGGAAAGGAAGTGCAAAGGGCACCACACTTGAGGAGAGGAGGGGAAAAAGGTTTTGAGGCGCCTCAAAACAAAACTAGTTTTGAGGCGCCTCAAAACTAGGGAGGGGCCAAGGCAGCAGCACACTCACGGAAAGGAAGTGCAAAGCGCACCACACTTGAGGAGAGGAGGGGAAAAAGGCAGCACACTCACGGGAAGGAGGGGCAAAAGAGTGAGTTTACGGTGAGGAGGGCCCAAAGGGCCGTAAACAGTGCTTACGGAGAGGAGGGGTCGTAGCCGGTGGGGCAGATCTCAACATCCGCGGTGTTGGTGGTGAGGTTGTACTCATACAGGTGCTCCACACACCCATTGGTGATAATACAGCTGTACGTGGTCGGCGTGTCATTATACGTCCTGGGATCCAACCACGCCTGCGTCGCGATCGTCAGTTCGCCGCCCGTGCAATCCAGATTGTCATCCTCGCACGCTACACATTCGTCGGCGCTAGTGGAGTAGGGGTAGAACGTGAAGCTGCCGTCGTCGCAGGGAGTGGACGGTTGACCAGCCTCGCACCAACTACCGACAGGGCAGGGGTCACATGTCCCACTCCCAGTACTGCTGGTACTACTACCACCACCGTCCCCCCCGGTTCCATCTTCCGAGGTTGTATTCAGAAAGGTTCCTGCAGCGCAGAAGTCTACAGTGAAGGTGTGTGTTATATCGGGGAACTCATTAGTGGGGCTGGAGACGGTGACGAGGAGGCGGAAGGGCGTGGCCTCGTCGGGAGTGACCATGACGGAGACCTCTGGCAGCTCGGCCAGTCCCTGCACTGCTGTTGCTCGCAGCAACCCCGAGATGCGGCGATCGGGAGCGATTGCGACAAAGGACGAGTTGTCCTGAGGAGGGCGGGGAACAGGGGATGTGATGGGGGACGGGGAAGAGGGAAGGGGAAAAAAGGAAGGTGGCATTCGCATTGAGTCAAGGAGGAGGAGTGAGCTGTGAGCTGCTACTGTTGAAACCACCTGAGCACCCACCTGAACAACAGTGTTGTTGTAGTCGTCCACAATGACCACCGTCAGCCCTGCGATGGGCGTCCCCACAGCCGTGAGAGCCACAAAGGACGGAACCGTGCCGAGGCCGTTAGCCCCCTCATCCATGCCCGCGAATGTGAAGTAGAAGTTCTTGGGGATGCTGCCTATGGTCTGGCTCTCCTGCTCCCGCACGCACTCGTCGCACCCGATGCGCACTGCAGGGTTGAAGGAAGCTTCGTAGAAGGCCACTCCTTGCGGGTACAAGGCCTCGTTCTCACTGAATGTGAGGTTTGAGCACACCAGCGGAGCCAGCTCAGCCTTTCCTACTCCCATGCTGCTGCTGCTGTTTGCCCCGCTTGCACCACTAGCTGCACTACCCGCATCATTCACCGCAGCGGCAGCAGCTGATGCTGATCCAGTAGCCGGAGCACCAGTAGAATTTCCAGCAGCTGCAGCTCCAGAGGAGGTAATCCCGAGAGTCTCTGCTCGCTTCACGTACACCCCTGCACCGCCCACCACCGCTTTGTTCCCAGTCATCCACGCCCCCTTAAATAACCCGTTTGATTGGTCCAAAAACGCCGCCGCCCCCCCCGCACGGCTTGCGCTGTTTTTCACGAGTGTCAGGTTCCCTGCCGAAAATTTCGAGCTGCCCGCAGCAGCAAGCGCCGCACCAGTAACCGCGTTGTTCCCCTCGAATCGCGACGCATCCAGGGTCACCTGGGCAGACCCTTCCGAAAAGATTCCGCCGCCCGTGACAGCCGTGTTGTTCGTCAGATTGCTCGATCGGACCGTGAGAGAAGTTTCGGCAGCTGCCCAGATGGCCCCTCCGGTGCCCGCAGGGGCCGAATTGCCCGAGAAAAACGCTGTAGTGAGAGTAGCCTGAGAACTCCCCCTAATAAGAAGAGCCGAAGCGGAGTTGTTGAGGAAAGAGGAGGAGGTGGAGGTGAGAGTCGCATCTGTATCCAGAACCATACCCCCGCCTCTCAGCGCGGAATTCGACCCGAATTGCGACGAGAGCAGCGTCACAGTGGCGCTGTGTGTGGCAAAAACTGCCCCGCCTTCGAAACTCGCCTTGTTACCCGTGAAGCTACTCCGCGTATCCTCCACCACACCCTCCATCTCCACCCACAGCGCGCCACCTGTCGGGCTCTCATTGGCCTCCACCTCACACCAGGTCATCACCAGCCTCCCTGACCCAGACACCTTCCCCACCCCGCCTCCACTCCCCGCCCTATTCTCCCGAAACTTGCTCCCATCCGCCGTAATAGTCGCGAAATCCGTGACCAATAGGCACCCTCCTGCTGCGTCCGCGGCGTTGCCCTGGCAGGAGGAGGATCGGAAGGTGAGGGAGGAGGTTTCCTGCGCGAGTAGGGCGCCGGCGGCAGTGCTGTTGTTTTCGGAGAAGGTGCAGTTGGTGAGATCGGCGGTGCAGTTGAGGCTGCACAGGAATGCGCCTCCCCCCACCGGGGAGGTGTTTCTGGTGAAGGTGGTGTTTGAGAAGCGCCCCAGGGTGGTTGCTTCTGCGCCTCGAGAGCCTTCAACTGTGACAGCGCCGCCCTTGAGGTAGGACCAATTCTCCTCAAACAGAGAGTCGTCTACTTGCAGCAGCGACCCCCCACTGAAGATGGCGGCCCCTCGCGAGCTGTTGGCTCTGTTGCCTCTGAACGTGCTTCCCTGCACTGTCACGTTGCTGTCCGCCTATGGTTGAGGGAAGGCGGGTGAAGGCAGCGAGAAAGGAGAAGGGGGAACGAAAGGAGGGAGAGCAAACACAAGGGGTGAGCTGAGCTGTAGGCTCTGTTGCCCGTGAACGCTGCCCTGCGCTGCCTGCCTGTGGTTGAGGCGAGGCGGAGAAGGAAAGATGGGGAAAGAGCAAACACAAGGCGTGAGCTGAGCTGTTGCATCTGTTTCTTGAACATCCCTCCCAACCCTTCCCCACCCTTTCCCACTCACCACGATGACATAGAGAGCGCCGCCGTCCTTGAGCTGCACGGAGTTGGCAGTGAAAGTAGACCCCATGATGCGCAGGTACCCCGTGCCCTCGCTGTAGATGGTATGGCATCTCGTGACCTGCCCATCCAACCCATCCCCACCCTTCCCCACCTGTCCCCCTCTGCCCCAGCAGCACTTCACTCACCGCAATGATGTAGAGCGCGCCGCCGTCCTTGAGCTGCACGGAGTTGGCAGTGAAAGTAGACCCCATGATGCGCAGGTACCCCGTGCCCTCGCTGTAGATGGCCCCGCCCCCACCTTGACAATGCTGTACCACAGTGGTTTATATAATAGAACACTCACCGCAATGACATAGAGAGCGCCGCCATCCTTGAGGTGCACGGAGTTGGCAGTGAAGGTGGACCCCATGATGCGCAGGTACCCCGTGCCCTCGCTGTAGATGGCTCCTCCCGACCCCGACACACTGTTGCGCTCAAACGTGCAGCTCTGCACCTCCGCCGTCACCAGCGCCAGCACTGGCGGGGGGAGGGTGATGGTGGGGAGTGGCGGAGGGGGTGAGGGGGTGAGGGCGGGGAGAAGAGGGGGAGTGGGTGGTTGCGCCTCCCATCTCGCCCCCCTCCATTGTGTTTTGAGGGGAAGGGGACAGGCGTGCCAACAGGTAGCGGAACACGCCCCCCTCCATTGTGTTTTGAGTCGACTCAAAACACGCCCCCATCCATTGTGTTTTGAGTCGACTCAAAACACGCCCCCCTCCATTGTGTTTTGAGTCGACTCAAAACACGCCCCCCTCCATTGTGTTTTGAGTCGACTCAAAACACGCCCCCCTCCATTGTCGCGGAACACCGTGTTGAGGGACTTGGCGAGTCGACCATTCCATGAGCCCCCACCCATTCCTCCTGATCCTCCCCTCCCCCACTACCCACACAGCCTTGACCTGACCACCCCGTCGCCCCCTTGCCCTCCCCAGCCCTCCCACTCACTTGCGTCTCCCAGCTCGCCCCCGCCGTTGTCTCGGGACACCGTGTTGGTGAACGCGACGAGTCAATCGTTCCGTGAGCCTCCCCGCCACCCCCTCCCCTCCCCGTCCCCCTACTTACTTGCGCCTCCCAGCTCGCTCGCCGCCCCCATTGTCGCGGAACACAGTGTTGGTGAACTTGGCGAGTCGACCGTTCCATGAGCCCCCACCCTTATCCCCAACTCCACCACCCAACACCACCCACACCACCCAACACCACCCACACCAACCACACCACTCAAACCGCCCGTCACCCCCTCCCCTCCCCATCCTTCCCACTCACTTGCGCCTCCCAGCTCGCCGCCCCCATTGTCGCGGAACACAGTGTCGGTGAACTTGGCGACGCCTCCGTACTGGTAGAACCCCCCGCCTCCCTTCGCCTGCAGGGGACAAGAGAGAGGTGTGGAGAGGTGTGGCGGGATGTGAAGCGGTTAAAAGAGGTGAAGGGGGGTGATGAAAGTGGCGAGTCCGCCTCCGTACTGGTAGAAACCCCCGCCTCCCTTCGCCTGAAGGGGACAAGAGAGAGGTGTGGAGACATGTGGCGAAAAACAAAGCGGTTAGACGAGGTGACGACGGGTGATGAAGGTGGCGAGTCCGCCTCCGTACTGGTGGAACCCCACCCCTTCCTTAGCCTGCAGGGGACAGGAGGGAGGTGAGAAGAGGGGAAACGAAATGGTCGACAATGGAGGACCTCTGAAGCGGAGAAAAGTGGGCCGAGGTGGGAAGCAACGCAGAGAAAAGGAAATGGCAAGGTGGAAAGGACATATGGAGCGAGCAGGACGGAGGTGTACACACAGGACGGGAGATAAAGAACGAGAGCAAGAACTAGAGGGAGGCATGGAGCGAGGGCGGGACGGAGGGTGGGAGGGAGGGAGGGAGGAGGGAGGGAGGGAAGAAGGGTGGGTGGGAAGGAGGAGGGAGAGGATAGGGCCTCACCATCGTGGCCGTCGCCCGACATATACACTCGCCCCTCTCCCCCTTACACCTATCAGCAAACGGCGCTTCCCCATTCTAGACCAACTTAGAGAAGGGAACAGAACAGGGTCATAGAAAAGGACGCACCAAGTTACGCGAGAAGGTGCAGGAGATGAACTCCTGGGTGGTTACCGTCGACTCTCCATCCTGCCCCACATACACTCCGCCACCATACCCATCCACGGTCGCCGCATCCCCCATCATGATCCCCACGTTATCCTCAAACACGGTGCGCTCCACTTTCGCTGACGTGGCGCTCAGCGATAGGCCGGCGCCCGAGGGCGCGCTGGAAACGTAGTCCATGACGTTGCGGGCGAACGTGGAGTCGGAGATCAGGAGGACGCCGCCCGTGGCGGATATGCCTCCTCCTAGGTATGTTGCGTAGCTGTCAGAGAAGCTGCACTTGGTGAGAGTTGCCTGCACAGTGGAATGAGAAGCGGGTGGGAGGGAGGAGAAAGGGATTTGAGACGTTATGAAGCGAGAACGTAGACCACTCCTCAACGCTGTTGTTGAGGGGCCTCAAAGAGGGGGTGGGAGGGAGAAAAGGGGGATGTGAGTGAGACGCCCGAGGGCGCGCTGGAAACGTAGTCCATGACGTTGCGAGCAAAGGTGGAGTCGGAGATCAGGAGGACGCCGCCCGTGGCGGATATGCCTCCTCCTAGGTATGTTGCGTAGCTGTCAGAGAAGACGCACTTGGTGAGGGTTGCCTGAATACGAGAAGACGGACGGAAGGAATGGGGGGGCGGGAGATGAAGGGGTGAAAAGGAGAGAGCAGACAGAAACAGGAGAGGATTCAGTTGGTTGGAGACGCCTGCATTGTTCAAGACGTCCCGAGAAAAGCTTGATTGCTACTCAGATCATGAGGATGAGAAAGGGAGAACGAGGCTTGGGGCGTGGAGATTATGAGAGTGTCCGGGCACGGAGGCATGATGGCGATTCCGTGGAGCAATTCGGTGCTAGGGAATCCGGTGATTCTGACTCATCCGCCTCATCACCATCACAGGCCGGTCTTCCAAATTCCCTAGCACCGAATTGCTCCACAAAATCGCCATCATGCCTCCGTGTCGGGACACTCTCATAAACTCCACGCCCCAAGCGTCTTCCTCTTTTTCTCGTCCTCATAACAATGCAGCCACAAGCCTCGTCCTCACAACAGCCACTCAGAACAGAAGTCAGCCACACATACCTGAGGGACTGTGAACACCCATGCGCCTCCTGACTCATATCCTTGACACTCTTGGTGGCATGGCACTAACGAATGCCTTCTCGTGATGCTGAAGCAAGAGTGCAGGTGCATACCTGAGTGACTGTGAACACCCACGCGCCTCCTCCCTCGTAATCCGTGACACACTTGGTGACATTAACGGATGTGACTGTAACCGTCTGCGTGGCGTTCAGCGCCATACACCCCCCGAAGCCGTAGCCTGACGCGTACACGACAGCTGGCAGCGTGCCATTGGAGGAGCAGGCTGTGAGCGAGGAGGAGGAAAGGGCGTAGGTGGAGGAACCCTCGTCCGCGATGGCCCCTCCAAGAACAGCCTGGTGGGAGGTGAGGGGGGAGAGAGAGAGAGAGAGAGAGAGAGAGAGAGAGAGAGAGAGAGAGAGAGAGAGAGAGAGAGAGAGAGAGAGAGGGAGAGAGAATCAATACAACGGACCGCTTGGGAGGAGATCAAGAGAGGTGAGAGAAGGAGAGAGATATTTGCAGGGGATTCTCCTCTCACCCTCTCACCAGAAACACGCATCCCACTCACTCAGCAGGCCATTGATGACTGTCACCCCATCGACCACCACACTCGAATACATGGCCGCAATGCAAGCCACACCACCCGTCCTTGTTGACAAGCCCCACCACCACCACACACCAGAAGCAAGCACCTCGCTCACTCACCAGTCCATTGCTGACAGTGACCCCATCGATAGACACACTCGAGTACATGGTCGCAATCGCCCCGCCGAAATACGCCTGGCACCCGGTCATCTCCCCTCCGTCCACCTCCACCCTCACATTCCTAAACAGCAGCGCCCCTCCCGCCCCGTTCTCCGAACTGCACCCATTCGCCGTCACCCCGGACAGCTTTGCGCGCACACCCCCAGGTGCAGCTGCCCCCCCCTCGGGTCCAGTGACGCTGATAGCGCCGCCCCCCGAGTTGTACATGTAGGTGAGGTCGGACCCAGGCGCGGAGCAGGCGGAGAAGGAGGCGGAGGAGACTGTGAGCGACGCGCCCGCGCCCTGCACTGACACCGCGCCCCCCAGGTTGGTGGCGGAGCAGCGGGAGAACGCCACGTTGCTGCAGGGAGGAGGGGAGCGGGGGTAGAGGGGGGAAGGAGCGGGGGGTAGGGGAGAGTGAGAGACGCCCCCGCGCCCTGCACTGACACCGCGCCGTGCAGGTTGGTTGCCGTGCAGCGGGAGAACGCCACGTTGCTGCGGGCATGGGGAGGCAGGGGGGGAACAGAAAGAAGGGGGGGGGGGGGGGGGAGATGGGGGAACGGAAGGGGGAGGGGAGGGAGGGAAACGGGAAGTGGAGGCGGTGGGAGTGGGGGAAGGAGACATGGGGGAGGGAGGGGGTGGAAAGAGGGGGAAGACGGGGCGGAAGGAAAACAGCTATTCGAAGTCGGCAGGAGCAGTTGGCGTGGAATTCCTATGCGCTCCATACATCAGCCATTTGGGCTGGAGGTTGGGGCATTCTCACTTCACAACCAGCCTCTGCCCTCACACATCCACGCATCCTCTGTTTTGTTAGAATTCTCAACATCATCTATGGTCTGCGGCGGTACTCACTTCACAACCAGGCTCTGCCCTCGCACATCCACGCGTCCTCCCAATCTTCCAGCTGAACATAGGAATCAACGTCGACGGCATCGCACGGCAGTGGGGATTTCTACTTGCTCCCAACGTCAGCTATGGTCTGCGGCGGTACTCACTTGATAACCAGGCCCTGCCCTCGCACATCCACGCATCCTCCCGAATCAGCCGACACGCCATTGGTCAGCGTGAACAGCGCCAGCGTCAGCACCACCTTGCTCCCCGCGCCGCACCCCGCGCCAGCACACGTGGCGTTCAGGCACGGGCCGCCGCCGCAGTCGAGTGTGATTGCAGCGGGAGACGCGGGGGTGGACGCGGGAGGGGCGCCAGTGATGGTGAGAGATTTGCCGCCCAGTTGAACAGCGGATTTGGTCGGCGAAGATTTGATTGCGGATAGGGGAGAGCCGGCGGGGAGTGGGAGGAGGGTGATGGTGGCGGAAGGTGCCGCCCTGGCGACCGCTGCTTGCAAGGAGGCTGCGGGGGGAACGGGGGGAACAGGGGGAGCGGGAAGGAGCGGGGGGAGCAGGGGGGACGAGGGGGGAAGTGGAGGGGGGACATGAAAGCGGGGAACACGGGGAAAGTGAGGGATGAGGTGGGGAGTGAGGCGGAGAGATGGAGAGGGAGAGGGGGGAGGAGAAGCAATGTTCCGGTGGACGGAGCGGGAACCAGGAGTGGTAAGCACGAGGACAAAGCCGAAACGATACGGATAGTACAAGGGCACGGACGAGCAGCGAAGGCAGCACAGCGTACCACAGGGAGCGGTGGTGGAGTCGCAGCAGCCGGTGTCGCTGCCCGTGCTGGCGACATAGACCTTGGCGAGAGAGGCGCACGACGGCGGGATCTGCTGCGACGACGCTGTTGGCGACAGAGAAAGCGAGAGAGGGAGAGGGAGGGAGGGAGAAGAATGGAGAGGGAGTGGGAGGGAAGGTAAAGGGATGGGGGAGGAGGGGATGGTCTCGAATGTGTTGAAGAATGGCGGCTGGGGAACGCCGGAACGAAGGTTAAGTCAACCGTCAGCCGCTACTTTGGCGACCCAGCAGGCAACAAGATGGCCGTCCGTGAGTCTCGAGCACGAGAGGAGGCGAAGGAGTTAACAGGAGACAGAGAATTTGCTCAGCTTTTCTCCGTGTATCCACGTAAACCTTTTTTCCGTGTATCCGCACGTCACCTAACTGACCATTTCCAGCACACCGAACCTAGGGAATTCAACAGCACGAAACAGCAACAGTAGGGCTTCGAGAGCAACTGCTTCGCGGAATGATTTGCAGAACGAGCCGTAACGAGAGGAGGAAGCTGGTGCGGTAGCGGAGCGAACAAACTCGTGCTAGGGATGCGAACGAAGCTAAGGTTCCCTTTAAGTCGACTTAGAAGTCACCTCGTTTTGAGTCGAGTCAAGAGCAACTACTTAGCGACAATGACTAGCTGAGGGAGTAAACTAGCGAGGCAGCGGAGCGGATAGAGCCGAGGTTCCTTTTTAGCCGAGCCGAAAGTCACCTTGTTTTTGGTCGACTCAAAAGCAAGTTTTTCGCGAATGACGTGCAGTACGAGCCGTAACAAGAGTGAACTAGAAGATAGAACCGAGCGAAGGTTCCTTTTGAGTCAACTCAGAAGTTGACTTCGGAGCACGCGTTTGGACCAACCTTAGCTCCCAAGTCAACTCAAAGCGAACTGCGGCACGAGACGTCACGACAGGGAACTAGTGCGGTTGGTGGAGCGAACAGAGCTAAGGTTCATTCAGGAGGCACGATGGCATTATCTTCTAAAAAGTACGTCAGAGCATTTTCGCTTCGTGTACCATCGTACGCGTGGCGTTAGGAAGCATTGCAAGCATGGGGTGGGGTAACATCGTAAACAATCGCTCTAGGAAGTGTCACTTATACAACGAGAGCGTGAGCGAGAATACGCACTTCTGGAGATGCTGGTGAAGACTAGGATGGCTAGTAAGCAAGATAACCGTCTCGTTGCCATTGTCGCTCGCCTCAACGAGGCGGCCGAAGCTACGTGAAGGCTAGTCATGAGGTCACAACATTGAAGCAGCGGTAGCAACAATGTGGGAGATGGCGGTTATCCTACTCCAGAAGATCATAAATAGTTGCGATAGTTTCACAATAAATAGTCTGGAAGCAAATGAAGGTCCCCTGAAGCAAACTCGTCGGCCCCGGTCTTTTGCCTGGGAAAACGTATTGCTTCTCGCGACTACTATCAGATTCCAGCCCCGAGCTATGCCGTATCATAGACAACCCTAAAAGCTTCTCGGTCTATGATGGGTTTGCTGTTAGGACGGAATTCTTCAAGTGGTCACTCTGTTGGAGTGACTGCCTGCGATGGTAGGTGGTCTGTACGTTCTTAGTGCTCGGTCAGTACGGTAATATCGAGAAAAACAATCCCAGTGCTGCTCTCTCAACTATTTCCAAGGACTTCACGAAAGTGTCCGTTCCACACTTACGCGACACAAATGGTTTCTCGCGACGGTCGTGAATGTTCTTTCTTGCACTGGTTGAGCTCTGCGAGCCGTTCGCGAAATTCTGGTTGCGACGGAAGGAAGACCGAGACCGTGTTGCCATGCCAGTCGTTGTCGTGACAATCGGGGAGTTGGCCCTTAGGGTTAGTGGCCCACTGGAGGCGAAGCAGCCAATAGTACACATCGAAGCCTGTCGGTACGATAGCGAAGCATAACTATAACGGATATGATTGAGAAAACGACGCAAGAGTTGAGGCAGTGATTTGTCTTGTTGCACCTACCTGAAACTGTTCGTACTTTTCACGCGGCGAAATTGCACCACTGCAGACTCCACGTGTAGGGCCGAAATGCTCGTTCAGCGATCCGTTATTGCACTCCACGCAGTGACAGCTTTGAGGTGTACATGGGCAGGGCATCCTCTTAGGACCACCTGAACTTCTGTTCACAGGTTAGGGCAACAACAGTCCAATATGGTTTGAGCTTAAGTGCATCTGGCCTGGGTGCTTGTATGGATTATGTCTGCTCACTTTCAATGCTCCATATATTTTGAACAAAATACCGTCAACCTATATTGCAATATATATAGGTATGTCCATTGAGTCCATCATTCAACAACTTGAGATGCTCTCAATGCATTTGCTATGTGAATATCAAGCAAGAAGCATATCTCGTCCCCCTGCAAGACAAGTGCACCAAAACATTAGCAAAACAAGTTTGCACAACATAACGAAACTACACGCGGTATAAACCATGAGACGGTTCTCACCCCGGTAGTAGCAAACTCGAACGAGTGTAGCTCGTCTTGTAGAGTCATGCTGAAGAATATTCGATCAGGCTGCCCTGCATACTCTGCAAGCTCCCTCAACTCTGCTTGGTGGATGACCGACCGAATCTCTGCATCCAGGAAATGTAGCTGCCAGCCAGTCCAATCAAGCGCAAGGAAAACACAAATGGAGGTGTCAGATGCACAGAGGAAATTTATCAGTACGAGTTGAAAGCATTCACTTCATTTGATGGCCATCTCAACATGTACACATGAAGGAAAGCTTGCAACAACATGAAAGAGTAACACAGCTCCATGGTGACATGGAAGACAGCTCACCCCGTTGTGCTTGACCCAGACAACGACCTGCCTGGGAAAGTCCTAAGAAGACTGGGCCCCCCTTGCGGGATTTTGTTAGTATCCTCAAAGGCAACTGAGCTCACCCCATTGTGGTTGACTCCCACAATGACATGCTTGGGGAAGTAGTTGGCTGTGTCCTCCTCTGTGCGCAGGTCAAAGAAGACGGACCCGCCCTGTGGGATCTCCAGCAGGATCCGGACGAACTCCCTCATCGTGGCCTCGTGGTCTAATGACCACTGCACAGGCATGGGAAGCACGTGCATGAGGGGACACTATTTGAGTATACTTTGAGCCGCCTTGAGTGATCTCCAGAAGGATTCGGACGAAGTCCCGAATCGTGGCCTCGTGGTCCAGGGACCACTGCACAGGCTTGGGAAGCACGTGCATGAGGGGACAATATTTGAGTATACTTTGAGCTGCCTTGAGTGATCTCCAGAAGGATTCGGATGAAGTCCCGCCTCGTGGCCTCGTGGTCCAGGGACCACTGCACAGGCATGGGAAGCACGTGCATTTGGGAACAACAGGGTGCCTCTTGAGTTGACTCAGTTGACTCAAAAGAATTCTGTACGTGATGTAAAGCGAACATGCATCTGAAGTTAGAAAAGAGGCAGAGTATGCAAGAAGACATCAATGTTGGAAAGAGGAAAGGGACACTGCAAGGATGTCTTCATGCATACTCTGCCTCTTTTCCTCTGTATCTGATGTATCTATACCCTTCATGCATACTCTGTATCTTACCAGGGTTCTGTAGGGTTCGAGGATGAGGTTCATCCACTCGTCCTTGGAGTGCAGGCGAGACACTATCTTTGGGATAGACCTCTTCATCTGTATGCTCCACTCCCTGCCATATATGGGCGCGCATGCAAAGGAACAAAGGCGCACAATGAGCAGAATATGGGAGGGTTCTGTAGGGTTCTGCCGTGCACACAGCGACCAGGAGGAAGTTGAAGGACATGCGAGGAGGAGGATCACACGCACATACAAGAAATGAAGGCTTGTGCGGAGAAAACACTGGGAGAAAGGCACACAGAAGTGGAAGGCCTACGAGGACGAAGATGAACACTGGTAATACCAGATACTGCTTCACGCGAAAAAAACAGATACTATTGGACTGTCCTTACAAGGCACATGGGAGTACGAGTTGGTCTTATGGGTTTGGGTTGGCAAAAGCTTACAGGGCCGTTTCAGGGTTGGCAATGACCCCAATCTCCCCGGCTATTTGCAGCGCTGCCAGCACCACTGCTCCCTCCACTGTCACCAGATAGTGGTTCGTGAGATAGTCGTACCGGAGCTGTTAGGGACGTGAGGATGGAAGGGGTGATGGGGTTGGGGTGGTGAGGAGGCAGACAGGCAGCACCATTCAGAGCTGCCACTGCCAGCACCACTGCTCCCTCCACTGTCACCAGGTAGGGGTTCGTGAAATAGTCGTACCGGAGCTGTTGGGAATGGGGGAGTGGGAGGGTGGGAAGGGTGGGAGTGGTGAGTGGGGAAGAGGGGGGGAAGAGGCAGACAGGCACCACCCTTTGAGCTGCCAGCACCACTGCTCCCTCCACTGTCACCAGATAGTGGTTTGTGAGATAGTCGTACCGGAGCTGTTGGAAATGGGGAGTTGGAAAGCATAGGAGGAGGAGGCGGCGGATTAATGTCCATGTATGATGATGGGACCAGCACAGAACGAAGGGACACATGGACGATATGGGGCGCGTGGGTGATGGAGCTTTGCTCCCCGTGTGCATACCAGCTGAAATGCATACCAGCGCGTAGCACGGTCACATGTTACGATTCTATCACCCACCTGTGCAGTGCATAGCTCAGGACCCCAACCCGTGCACACCTGAGCGTAGCAGAGGCGCACGTGCTGCAGGTCAGCAACGAGTGCATCGTCCGTCTTGAAGAATCGCTTCTTCAGCAGCAGCTTGCACGCGACCAGGCTGCCCCGTGCCACCTCCCACTCCACTCACCCTTCACCGCACCCTACACTCGCATGCAACCAGCGAGCCAACCTTACTCACCACCACATGCAGCCAGACTGCAACTGGTGCCATGCTCTTGAGAATTCTCAAAAGAGCAAAAAGCATCCCTACGCACAACCCACCTGCGCGTAGCAGAGGCGCACGTGCTGCAGGTCAGCCACAAGAGCATCGTCCGTCTTGAAGAACAGCTTCTTCAGCAGCAGCTTGCATGCCACCAGGCTGCCGCATGCCAACCACTCACCAACCCCACTCATTCACTAGCGCACCCTAGAGTGCATCTGCTGCCACTCTTGACGCCCCTTCCCCCCTGCGACTGACTCGACCCATGTTCCCGTACGCACCCAAAAGCCCACCTCCACACCCACCTGCGCATAGCAGAGGCGCACGTGCTGCAGGTCAGCAACGAGAGCATCGTCTGTCTTGAAGAACCGCTTCTTCAGCAGCAGCTTGCATGCCACCAGGCTGCCACGCGCTGCTTTCACATACTCCGCCATCACGTCTGATACGTACGCTTCTGGGTCCAGAGGCACGTGGTCTGATGCACGGGGTGGGGAAGATGGGTGCAAGAACATGGGAGTATTATGTGTGTGCATGGCAATACTGCTCTCACATACTCCGCCATCACATCGGATACGTAGGCTTCCGGGTCTAACGGCACATGGTCTGGTGGGTGGGGGAAGAAATGAATGGGGTGGGAGAGGGTGAGGGCTGGTGGGAGTGCGGCAGCTTGCATGCCACCAGGCTGCCGCGTGCCACCTTCACATACTCCGCCATCACGAACACATAGGCCTCTGGGTCCAGAGGGACGTGGTCTGATGGGTAGGTTGGGAGGATTGCATGGGAGAGCACGAGGGCATGGTGGGAGTGTAGCAGCGTACATGCCACCAGGCTGCCGCGTGCCACCTTCACATACTCCGCCATCACGTCTGACACATAGGCCTCTGGGTCTAGAGGGACGTGGTGTGGTGGGTGGTGTGGTGTGATGGGCGGGACGGGGTGGGAGAGTGTAAGGGAATGGCGCGCAGCAGCTTGCATGCCACCAGGCTGCCGCGTGCCGCCTTCACATGCCCTGCCATCACATCAGAGACATACGCCTCGGGGTCCAGAGACTCGTGGTCTGACGTTGGGGAGAAGGGAGGGATGGGATGGGAGGGCGTGAGGGCAAGGTAGGAGTGCAGCAGTGTACATGCCACCAGGTAACAGCGCGCTGCCTTCACATACGTGTGTAGTGAGTCGAGTTTCGAGTCGACTCAAAACTCGACTCACTACAAGCAGTGTGCATGCCACCAGGCAGCAGCGCGCTGCCTTCACATACTCCGCCATCACATCCGAGACATACGCCTCGGGGTCCAGAGGCACTTGGTCTGGTGGGTGTGGGGGGACAGGGTGGGAGATCATGTGGGAGTGCAGCAGTGTACATGCCGCCACCAGGCAGCAGCGCGCTGCCTTCACATACTCCGCCATCACATCCGTTACATACGCCTCAGGGTACGTGGTCTGGTGCAGTACGGAGAGTTATCGGACCCAGCAGCAACAGAAATACTATATCTCAGATCAGATCAGCAGCAGCACACTGACCAATGGTGGGGTCGCTGTGGGTTGCCCCCATGGATTTGTAAATCCGACATGTGAACAGGGCGAAGGGATGAGGATGGGATGGCATGGCATGGCATGGCATGGCATGGCGTGGATGGCATGGCATGGCATTGCATGGATGGCATGGCATGGGATGGCATGGCAAGGGAGTCAAACTGACCAATGGTGGGGTCGCTGTGAGTTGCCCCCATGGATTTGTAAATTCGGCATGTGAAGAGGGCGAAGGAGGTGGTGTCTGTCACATGTAGCCTCTGCAGCAGCAACTGAATATTGTAGGGAAATCCAGGAATGGAAACAGGGATGGGACGGTTGGATAGGGGCATTAGAAGGATGGACAGGTGAAGAGGGCGAAGGAGGTGGTGTAGCCTCTGACTTGTAGCCTCTGCAGCAGCAACTGGATATGGACAGAGATGGGACGAAGGACGAGACACAAAGGGACGGGTATCAGAGGGATGGGCAGCACATTAGAGGAATGGAAAGGTGAACAGGGCGAAGGAGGTGTGGAAAGGTGAACAGGTACTGTCACTTGCAGCATCTGCAGCAGCAGCTAGATCATCTCCTAAACTCCATTGCTCAAAAGTGCCATATCCTTTCCTCATCACTAGCAATCCCTCACCTGCATGGCCTCGCCAATGGTGGTAACCGCGCTGCTGGGAATGTTCTCCAGGGTGTCGTCACACAGATACACCGGCACTGACAGGGGTGTGTGCCACTGCTGCTGTATTGTTCAGGGAACACAACGGACACCCCGAATGTGCTCACCTGCATGGCCTCGCCAATGGTGGTCACGGCGCTGCTAGGGATGTTTTCAAGGGTGTCGTCGCACAGATACACTGGCACTGACAGGGGTGTGTGCGTCAGCAACGAGAGCACCTGACAGGGACACATGGGGAGGGGCGGGGACCCGGACGGGAGGATTAGGGAGAAGGGGATCAGCACAAGTGTTACAGAGAGTTGTAGGAGTGCCAATGACAAGGATTGCCAAGGAGTACCAAGGAGTGCCAAGGAGTGCCAAGGAAGGTCTGACCAACCGTGTGATGCGTACCAGCTTCCACCTTCTCAACTCACTCCACTCGTCCTGCTCCGCCACTCATCTCTCCTCGTCCTCTCCCGTCCAACATTCTCACTCATCTTGCCCCGGCACGCATCTCCTCGGCCCGTGCTTCAGCCCATGGTCCAGCGCCTTCCACGCTTCCAGGACTGCTTCTCGGACAGCCTCGTCTCCCCTCTTGTCCGCCTTGAGCCATATCTACCCGTAATCATCACCCCTCCACTCACCTCATCTCGTCCTGCCCTCTGCTCTCACCTCATCTTGCCCCGGCTTGAATCTCCCGGGCCCGTGCTTCAGCCCATGGTTCAGCGCCTTCCACGCCGCAAGCACGGAGTGCCAAGGAGTAGCTGAAAGTACCAGGCTTCGATGCATATCAACCGTACCCACCTCATCTTGCCCCGGCACGCATCTTCTAGGCCCGTGCTTCAATCCATGATCCAGCGCCTTCCACGCAGCCAGCACCGCCTCTCGAATGGCCTCGTCCCCCGCCTCGTCGGAGACGAGCGAGGAGAAGTACTCGGAGAGTGGCCCCGCGACGGTGGTGGTGGGGGGGAACACGCCCGCACACAGCCGCATCAGCTCCCACACCTTCAGGCAGGACGCCCTGGGGGGAGGACGAGAGTGGGGAAGAAGAGGGGGGATGGAGAGAGCAGGGGAAGGCAAGGAGGCGAAGGATGACGACGGTTCAGGTACGTCAGCTTAAACAGCCACTAGAGAAAAGAATCACGAGAGGCAGCAGCACTCCATGCACGCCTTGAGGCACGACGCCAGCAGCGCTCCATGCAGCGCTCCATGCGCAACCGCCTCGTCGGAGACGAGCGAAGAGGAGCACTCAGAGAGAGGCCCCGCGATGGTGGTGGTGGGGTGGGGGGGAACACGCCCGCACACAGCCGCATTAGCTCCCACACCTTCAAGCATGAGGCTCTGGGGGGAAAGGAGGGGAAGAGAGGGGAAGGAAGGGGAAGTGGATGACGAGGGTTGAGGTGATGCTGAAAGCCTTTCCCTAGAGTCACCTCCAGCTCCCTGCAAGCAACTACCGCCTCGTCCGAGACGAGCGAGGAGAAGTAGTCAGAGAGTGGCCCTGGGACGTGGTGGTGGGGGGAAACACGCCTCCTCCACTACTCATAAGACACCTTTCTGTGCGCTTCTGCAAACCACCACCCACTCACTGCGGGCGTTCCGTTCCATCTCGTCTGCTTCCACAGCTGCACCAACAGCTCATCTCGCAGCCCCAGGTCCAGAAACACACGCGCCACCTCCAGCGCGTTACCCGCACCACTAGCAAACTCCTGAACTGAATCAAGAGCAGCTTTTCTGTGAGCCACCACGACCCCCTGGCCACGACCCCCCGCCCACCCACCAGCCACCACCCACCCACACTCATTCACTCACTTGTACTCGTTCCCCCGCGTCTGCTTCCACAGCTGCAGAAACAGCTCATCTCGCAGCGGCGGCTCCTTCCCCAGGTCCAGAAACACGCGCGCCACCAGCGCGACCTCTTCCGCGCGGGAGAGCATCTTGCCCTCGTGCACGCCCATGAATCGCAACACGTCGTTGAATAGGCGCGTCGCGGGCTCGTGCAGGACGCCGCTTATTCGCAGCATGGCTGTTGGGATCGCGTCCTGTGTGTGGGGGGGAGGAGGGGAGTGGGAGGGAGAGAGAATGGTGGGCCGGCGAAGGAGTGGGGAGGAGGGGACGGGACTTGTGGGAGGATTGACAGGCAAGACAGCAGCACCAAGAACATCCTACGCGCGCGAGAGCATCTTTCCCTCGTGCACGCCCATAAATCGCAACTCGTCGTTGAACAGCCGCGTCGCGGGCTCGTGCAAGACGCCGCTCAGCCGCAGCATGGCTGTTGGGATCGCGTCCTTGGAGGGGAGGGTGGATGGTGGCCATGGTGGGGTGGTGAGGGTGGGGAGGGTGGCGTTAGAGGGGATGGGGGGAGTCCGCATGGGAGATAGGGGCGGGGGGAGGGGGTCCAGTGGGGCCCACGGGAAGTAGGGGGGCGGGAATCATGGGCAAGATTGACTGAAAAAGCAGCAGGACCAGGAAATCGCTGAATCAGGACCAACATCGGGACTTCGTCAGCTCAGATGAGCATCTCGCTGAAATGCATGAAACGGTAAATGCATGAACTCGCACCTGCTGAAACGAGAACATGTATCGGACCCGACTAGTACTGCTCCGCCATAGTGATAATCATGAGGCATGGCTTCGAGAATAGCATATAAGCGTACCTGTTGAAATGAGAACATGTCTCGAACCGTGTACTGCTCCGCCTTGGTGGTACCGGGGCCGACGACGCCAAGTAGTCGTCGCCTGGCGACGGCGGTCGCACGAATGTCCAGCATCGCTGCGACGAATGCCTCCACGTGGCAGATGTCGTAGAGCTCCTGCACCGCCTCGAGAGTACCGCCGGGAACCAGCCTGGTCCGAACGAAGACATCGGCAGGGATTGAGGCGAATCAATAATACTTTAGAAAATAAACGGTGGGGTGGGTGCGTAGACGACCACGGACTTCGACAGTCCGGATACGGGCGGTTGTGTGATGAGAAGTCCGAACGACAAAGAAATCCAGCCTGAACGAGAGTAAGCGGTATTGCTAGCAGCTATCTTGACGCCAGGAGGGATAACGATAAAATCCCAGCGACATGGAGCAACGAGAGAAGGCTGTGAAGGTTGCTGCTCCTTGACCTGCATGAATCCGGAAGAAACTATCGGTGCAGAGCGCACTTTTGACGTCCATCCTCTCAGTAAATTCCTGACGCCGGAGAGTACGGTCACACGAAGAACGAGCCCGTCTCGGAATGTGTTATGGGTACTCACATGACGTCTAGAAACGCCTCTTTGTAGTCCATTTCTGGCGCGTCTTTTAAAGATATCGAGCTCTCCATCATGGCTGCTCTTGTCGTCGCCACCACCATTCTACTTTTGAACTTTACAGGCTAATGATGCTAAGAGCACGCGCTCGGTACGAGACAGGTCTTTGGTCGTTACTTGTTGAACTGGAATCCAGCGACTACCGTTTCCCTGTTCCACAATCACTTGTGCGCTGCTGCTATTTATTTCTTCCTCAACAACGACGTATTCTAATATTTGCGTCTCGGCGTAAGGAGAGCACAGCACAGAATGCCGCGTTCCAGTCCAAATCTTTCGAAGCCTTTGTGCACCAGTTCCTTCGCAGGTTGATCCGAATACCTCAGGCACTTCAAGATTTTTCTAGAATTCGTCTGTGCATTATTTGCTATGGAAAAGGAGCTGAGAAGCTGAGAGGGAAGAAGCTTGGTGGGCGGTAATCCCGAGGCCGACATAAACCACCAAACCAAGCCAAACCCAGCCAAACCAAGGTTGCCAAATTTCAAGTTCCAACCAAGCCCAAGGCGTGTCCGATGACGTTGATTCAGCGACTCGGCTCGACTCGCCATGATGCACAGATGAACGCGCGCTGACCCTGCACCGTTCTTTCTTCCTAATCAACCACAATGTACCCTCAGTCGCATCACAAAAAGTCACGCCACGCGACTACGACATAGCCCACCGCATCCCGTGACCGAGGGGAACACGAGCAGTCCCAAACCAAGTCGCCATTTTATGTCGCGAACCAATCGGAAGGCTTGACTGACTGCAGTTCAGCAACCAGCAGACCGCCCTCCTTCACAGAAGCTTTCTGGAGAACATTTTCTTGCACCTCGAAATGTTTTCCCGCCACAGATGCATCCGAAGCCGAAGCGCTTCAGTTGGCTCTACATCGCCTCCTTCGTTTGAGGAGCCGTGGCAAAATGGTAAATGCATTCGAAAGATTTATTGATTAATCTGGTGAAAGTGATGCTGTGACTTGATTTATTCTTACAAGCATTTTATGGCTAACAGACAAAAACAAATGGCCCTTGTCAGCTACACCTCACTAGCAAGGCCAAACTACTTGACGTAATTTCAAGAGCTCCTGAGAGTTTCAAGTATCTCTCAGGTTCCATTACCTTCAGTACCACTTCATCCCCTTGACCTTCCCATCTCAGCCATAAGAAGGGGGTCATTCTCGGAGCGAGTGTTGTCCTGCAGAAGGTGAAGATAAAAACAAATAAATATGGAGGGAGTTGAAGGGAAACGGTGCAATGTCACAGGACAGCTAAGCAGCTACGTAGCGGAGAAGTATACTCATCTAAAGGAGGACGCTTTAACTCACAGTTTCACGGTCACTGTCATTGGCCTTCTCAAAACTTAAGCCACCCGAGGGAGGAGCTGAAATCTACGTTCGGAGCAAAGAAAACAGGCCAAAGAAATGAGGCAAGAAACGTGAGGTTCAGGATTGAAGGGGAAAACAAATACCTCCAACTTTACTGAATAACAATAGCTAGGATGGCCCTATTTGTAGAACACAGATGCGAAGCCTCGTAAACAACCCAATCAGAAATAACCAAACCTGGCATACAGGCACTAAAACCACCTGAAACACCTGGGAGCGCACCTGAGCGTCTCTGGACTTGGCCTCTTGGATCTGCACGTAGGAGTAGAGAACCATGCCGACCAGCGCAACCAGAATGCCACCCGCATTGCGCCAGCTGAAGGGGTTGTTGAGCAAGAGGTAGCCCATACCCAGCACCAGACATGTCTTGAGGTGGCCTAGCACCTGGGGGGGGACAAGTGTGTGTGTGGGAGTTTGTGAGGAGAGTTGGCTTTCATGCACCATATGATGTGAGTGCGACTCAAAGAGAAGTGTGCACTTTGGAAGTAAACCGCGCAATTACTCACAGCCCACCTACTTGGTGTAACGAGGGGGTTTTGGCGGCAGCTAAAAAAAAGTCCACTTTAAAAGAGAACCTGAAGACTCCTTAGAGCCCACCCACCTGGTAGGTGACTGGCGACGTCTTGCCGATGACAAGGAAGGAGCTGAAGTTGACAGCCACGGCGATGAAGCATGACAGCAAGATGAACGACTAGTGGTAGTGGGGGATGGAGGGGTGGGGGGGGCAGGAATGGGAGGAAAAAGGGGTGAGAGCTTGAAAACGGAAAGTGGGGGAAATGGCAAGGCAAGTAGGTCCAAAAAGGAGCCAAAGTTTAACGTCACTGTGATGAATCAGGAGAGCAGGATGAAAGACTGATTGTAGAGGGGGATAAAGGGGGTTGGGGGGGGGGGGGGGGGGTGGGGGGGCAGGAATGGGAGGAAGTAGAGGGTTGACTCAACAGCGATGGCGCATGACATTAGGATGGAGCCAAAGACGTTGTGGGCTGTGAGGCAGGCACCGACAAAGGGGTTCTGGACGGCTCAACCCGCTTACCAGAACGCTCACTCCACCCACTCCCAGCACTCTAGTGTAATCCACCCACCAGCAGCGGCCAAAGAGTACTCCACTCAGAGAGGTCAAACCTGTAAAAAGCAGTAAAGTGGATGCACCCACGATGACGTTGAAGGTGTAGTCGAAGGCAAAGACGTTGTGACCCGTGAGGTAGGCGTCCACCAAGGGCCCACAGCACTCACCAGCACACTCACAAACCTCAATCAGGTTGTAGAGCTCGTAGCACGCCTTGTGCTACACGAGCACAGCACTCACAATGACGTTGAAGGTGTAGTCGAAGGCAAAGACGTTGTGGCCCGTGAGGTAGGCGTCCACGAAGGGCCCCGAGAGGATGAGAATGAGCGCCTGGAAGGGCGACGACTGGTACAGCAGCTGCGTGCTGCTCACCTTGTACCCCTTCTGAATCGTGTTGGTCATCTGGGGACGAGGAGGGGGAAAGGGAAACGGGAACGGGATGGAGACAGGGACAGGGACGGGAAGGTGAAGGGGAAGGGTGGGGATTGGGACGAGGAAGGGGAAGAGGAGAAGAATAAAGAAGAAGCGGAAGGGAAGGGGAAAGGGACTTGAATAAGAAATACAACCCAAAGTGTGTCAACCAAATCAAGAAGGTGGAGCCAGCAAGTGGTGCTGATACTCACAATCTAAGCAACGCAAGTGCTGACGATGGCAAGAGCGGCCAGGACTGTGCCCTAAACCCTTAAGCGTCTGTGACTGTGGCGATGCCCACCCCCAGCAGCAGCAGGCTAGCAGCTCCTTGAGTCAACGAAAAAACCTTCCACTTACGATTTGAGCAACGCAGGTGCTGACAATGGCAAGAGCAGCCAGGACTGTGCCAACGAAATTGAGCCCTAAGTCCGTGACTGTGGCGATGCCCACACCCAGCAGCGTCGTCAACTAATGGCATTACCACACCACTTACGATTTGAGCAACGCAGGTGCTGACAATGGCAAGAGCAGCCAGGACCGTGCCAACGAAATTGAGCTCCAAGTCCGTGACTGTGGCGATGCCCACGCCCAGCAGCAGCACCAGTAGGGACGCCTGCACCTGCAGACTGAATGACAACGGCAGGGGGGGAAGGGGTGGTGGAAAGCTTATGTATGAGTTGCCTGATGCCCACGCCCAGCAGTAGCACCACTAGGGGCGCCTGCACCTGCAAGCTGACTCACAAAGGGAGAAAGGGGGGTGTGTGTGGGGGGGGGAGGGAGGAGTGGTGGTGGGCCTGAGATAGGCTTAAGCCCAGGGCAGGAGCATCGGCAGGGACGAATGCACCTGAAGCCTGAATCACAAACGGGGGAAGACGGGCACGGAGGGGTGGTGGGCGGGGGGACGGACAGCTATATTCTAGGGGGCTCAGGTGACATGAGGCTTGCACGACGCGCAGAGGCTTGCATCGCAGCGGTGCCCTGAACATGTAACGCGAGAGCAATAAAATTTCGGAACACGGAATTCGGATGATGTATGACGCACCCACGCACCTGAATCTCATCTTCAGGAAGAGGATTTGCAGACAGACCGTGCACGGGATGATGGCGAGCTTGGCCATCTGCAATGGGAGCAATGGGAACGGTAACGGCAACGCACCGAAACCGAAACAGACACGTCAATATGTCAGGCGATGACGTGGTGCCTGGATGACTAAGCGAGTGCTAAGTGTGAAATGCTTTTATCGGGGGAAAGTCGTATAGCAAAACCGGAAGACATTCATGATTATACTCGGCAGAGGATTTCTCGCTGTAACACTTTGTTTCCCCCCACTTTTGAGAAAGCCGATAATTTGCTTGTTCATACGCATGTATTCGACTGTGAGCGTGTGTGATTGCAAATGAGAAGCGAGGTGAAGGTTTACTGGGGGAAGTGGACTGTAAGAAAATATATGCGAGGTAATAATCTATGCGGTAGAATCAGTAAAAAATGAAGCCCCTTATAGATCATCACTGAGGGAAAGACGTTACCTGGTTAGAAGCCCGCGGAATTGGATCGAAGCACGCAAAATGGTCAGGCACTTAGCAATGCCGAATACGACAAGCCCTTCGATATGATCACGGAAGGAAGAAAGACGTTACCTGGTAAAATCCAACGGAATTGAACCCTAGTGTTAGGTTCAGGAGGCCAATGGACGCGCCATTGAGCAAGCCGAACCCGATGACGACCTTAGGGTCGAACGCCTTATGCTCGAAGAACCCGATCGTCCGCGCGACGTGCAGCGATAGGAATGTGATCACCAGATGCCAGCTGGATAGCGTCGTCGCTGATCGGTCGCGAAGAGGATTAGTGCATGGAAACAATGAAGAGCAGGAAAACGAGATTAGGTATGACTTTTCGCAGCTTACGGTTGAGTGACGCCGAATACGGGCGATACCGATGAGGAGAATGCGAATAAGATGCGTTAGAAGAAGAGAGCAGCGAAGAGGGGGAAAAGAAACCGATGAGACTTATCCAGGCTTACCGAAGTTGAAATGAAACTGGGAAAGCAGCGCTTTATTGCAGATAACGATCGACACTGATGAGACAACTGACAGGGTCAGGGCCCCGATCGTCCCGATATTCGACATGACTGTGCTCCCTGCTCGTCAGACTCTCCTTAATGCAGGTTCGGAAAAAAAAAAAAAAGGTTGCTTGAAAAGTCCAGTTCTTGCGGAGCTAAGTTATGCCCGTCTCAACTCGATCAGATGACTTCTTCGTTTCTTCCCTCCGCTGTCTCGCGTCAACGGATTTTAGCAGCAGGAGCTTCGACGCCAGGGAATGGTATTTCTCTTCAGCGATGAAGCAAGCAGATCAGCGACCTTGGAAACTCCTGTGCAACTAATTTTTTTCACCCAGATTGAAATCACTGGAAACTAGAATCAAGGTCAGGACGCGGCACCTGTTTGCATTTTTCAAGGGTCGAGGGAGATCGTGGCCTCACATCGATCCTGGCACACCGATGTGCCCACACTGCAAATTTGCTGTGAGGTTGACACATCGAGCTATAGGTGCCAGGGTCGAAATTGCAGGGTCGGGAAGGCTGGATCCACGTCGGAATATTTGCGCAGCCAATCAGGACAAATATTGGATGGTCGCCCAGGAATTTCATTCGCAGCGACTTGAAAAAGGTTGGCCTGCGACCGTGGGCGACGTCGATCGATCGCGGCTGTCACCTGTGGTGCGATGTGCTCTCACACCAACCAAAACGCACTATCGATGTGTGCAACATGGCACATCGGTCGTGCGAGCTGCAGGTGCCAATTTACTGTACACTTTCGAGCTCCCGCGAAAAACGGATACCACGCACTAGCGATGTCGCAAATACACTGTATAAGCGGCACATCGATCCCCTACAACGATCGATCCTGCCTAAATGAAAACAGGTGCCGCGTATGTATGGATGCTCTGTCACAGGAAGGATGTTTCATGCGATTGGATACCCAGGTTCAGTGCGGTTCATTAAGTTCGCAGACGGTATAGGCTGGACACAACTTCTTATCAGTCCAGACCGCAAAGCACCCAGCGAAACCGAGGTATGTGACGTGCTTTGGAAATGATACGCAAGGCTTCAACAACCTACAATCAACGGTTGCCGTCCCTCGACTGTGCGAAGTGCTGCGATACCAACTGATGATTTCTACACGTGAGTTACCACTAGAGCCGAGGTGCCAAAACTAGGACCAGGATGTCGTGAATGTGTGACATCAACGAAGGCCCAAAGGGGACACAAACGGAGGAGGACCAGGCCAACTGGCTTTGTGAGTGATTCAAATTCACCGAATCGGGGCCGTTGAAGCGAAATGTCACCTGAACCCCTTGCATTCGAAGCGCAGGGTGCATGTCGCACAGATGTGCGGGCCGACACATCCACCAAACTGGGCGGGGATTTGAGAAGCTCCATACTGGCCCGTTTCAGCAACGTGATAAAACAATACAAAACAAAACTCTACAAGATGGATACAAGCTTGAGAGATCTATTCCATACGCAGACGATTCTCCATAACTCTTGATTTGATTAGTTAGATACCGGTAAGACGCTGCGGCCTAGTGCCCATTTCAGCTCTCAACAAGCTCGCCCGTATCAGAAGTGCGCGCGTGTCTCGTTGGAAGTCATTGCCAGCTGCAAGTGCTCGTTGAAACGTTGCATTGCGCTGATCAGCATGACGAGCGTATAGAATGCCTTTGTGTGAGTCGATGCGTGCCTGGCATGGAAACAACGAGGAAATGTAAGCAGAAACGAAAAGAACAGCACCAGTAAATACATACAGCCAAAGAAAATATCATACATAGCGGCGTGGCACGCAAATCAGCTTCTATGAGCCACCTCCAATGCACATCCATCCACTCACCTGCACTTGGTTATCCATGACAAGCGCTGCAAGCTCCTTCTCGAGAGCCGCCACATTCGTGTTAAATGATGAGGCCATCGTGCGGAGATCAACAGATATGAAGGGCGTGGCGTACTGAATGCTGCATTGGACAAGACACACCTACACCGACTCACCTGCACTTGGTTATCCATTATAAGCGCAGCAAGTTCCTTCTCCAGCGCCGCCACATTCGTGTTGAACGCAGAGGCCATCGTGCGGAGATCAACGGATATGAAGGGCGTGGTGTACTGAATGAGAGCGCGCTGGCGGATCTGCTGGTAGAGCGCTGCCACGTGGTCGTGCAAATGCAGGTCCAACTCTAGCACTGGGCGCAGTTTGTCCAGATACTTGAGGCATGATGCGTAGCGGCTGGTGGAAAAAAACACAAGGGGTGATTGACAGACAAGGGTGAGCGGAGGAGGGAGACTGAGTGGTCATGCATATGCAGGTCCAGCTCTAGCACTGGCCGCAGCTTGTCGAGGTACTTCAAGCACGATGCGTAGCGGCTGGTGGAAAGGGAGAGAGGGGGAGAAAAGCCAGGGGCTACTGAATGAGAGCGCGCTGGCGGATCTGCTGGTACAGGGCTCCCACGTGGTCGTGACTTTTGAAGCGCCTCAAAAAGTGCAGGCGGATCTGCTGGTAGAGTGCTGCCACGTGGTCATGCAGATGTACATCCGACTCCAGCACTGGCCGCAGCTTGTCCAGATATTTCAGACACGATGCGTAGCGGCTGATGGTTGGGAAAAAAAACAAGGGGTAATTGAGAGGCAAGCGTGAGAGGAGGGGGAGACTATGTGGTCGTGCAGATGCAGGTTCAGCTCCAGCACTGGACACAGCTTGTCCAGGTACTTGAGGCACGATGCATATCGACTGCAATGAGGGGACCGGGGTGTCAGAAAGGGAGAGAGGAGGGAGGAGACTGAGTGGTCATGCAGGTGCAGGTCCAGCTCTAGCACTGGGCGGAGCTTGTCCAGATTCTTCAGACGCGATGCGTAGCGGCTGTTGGGGGGAAGACAAGGAATGGTTGAGAGGCAAGGGTGAAAAGAGGGGGAGACTGAGTGGTCATGCAGGTGCAGGTCCAGCTCTAGCCCTGGGCGGAGCTTGTCCAGATTCTTCAGACACGATGCGTAGCGGCTGAAAGAAGGGAAGGGTGAGAGGGAAGGAGGATACTGAGTGGTCGAGCAGATGCAGGCCCAGCTCCAGCACTGGGGAGTGGTAATCAAGATCTCCAAGCGAGACCAAAGCCAGTAAAAGTCGTATCCACACCCACCTGGCGTATAAATCGTATATGAGCTCCCTGACCTTCGAGGCGCCTAAAAAGTCATATATGTGCTCCCTGATCTCCAGCACAAGCTCCCTTCCTTGAGGAAGGGTGAGAGATCAACACGAGATATACAGCTCCAGAAAAGGGAGCAAGCAGAGGCGCCCTTCACCCACCTGGCGTAGAAGCAGAGGTGGGTGGGTCATATATGAGCTCCCTGACCTCTGGCACTAGCTTGAGGAGGCCAGAGAAATAGAAAAGCCAACCAAGAAATAGAGAGCTCCAGAATTGAAACCAAAGATACGGGGCGCACACACCCACCCACCTGGCGTAGAAGTCATATATGAGCTCCCTGACCTCTGGCACTAACTCAAGGAAGTCGAGAAAGCCCTAGTCAAATATGGAGACGAGCAGGGAGAAAGGTGAGCTCTGACGAGAAGGGTCAGGCACAGGGGACGAACTCACCTGGCGTAGAAGTCATATATGAGCTCCCTGACCTCTGGCACTAGCTCAAGGAAGTTGCGGAAGTTGACGGAGTCTATCAGCTTGCTCTGCATGCACATACGCAGTGAGAGGACGGAAAGAGTGGGGCGGGGGGGGGGGGGGGGGGGGGGGAGGGTAAGATGGGGGGGGGCTAGGCATGTCGAAAGGAAGTTGCGGAAGTTGACAAAGTCTATCAGCTTGCTCTGCATGCACATACGCAGTGAGAGGAGGGAAAGAGGGGGGCGGGGGGGGGAAGGAGGGGGTAAGACGGGGGGGGCTAGGCATGTCGAAAGGAAGTTGCGGAAGTTGATGGAGTCTATCAGCTTGCTCTGCATGCACATGCGCAGTGAGGGAGAAGAGAAGGAGCAGACAAGGGAGAAGAGAAGGAGCAGACAAGGGAGAAGAGAAGGAGCAGACAAGGGAGAAGAGAAGGAGCAGACAAGGGAGAAGAGAAGGAGCAGACAAGGGAGAAGAGAAGGAGCAGACAAGGGAGAAGAGAAGGAGCAGACAAGGGAGAAGAGAAGGAGCAGACAAGGGAGAAGAGAAGGAGCAGACAAGGGAGAAGAGAAGGAGCAGACAAGGGAGAAGAGAAGGAGCAGACAAGGGAGAAGAGAAGGAGCAGACAAGGGAGAAGAGAAGGAGCAGACAAGGGAGGGGCCAGCGGTCGGGACGAGAGGCGGGGAGAGGTGGGAAGGGGGAGTTAAGCCACGTGGAAGGTCAACGGAGTACCCCAGGCATGAATGCGGTTGGCATGAATGCGGTTGGCATGAATGCGGTTGGCATGAATGCGGTTGGCATGAATGCGGTTGGCATGAATTCGGTTGGCATGAATTTGGTTGGCAGACACTGGTGCATCTCGCAATGGTATATGACATCTCCGAATAAATAAGCACCTTAAGTTCGGCGCGGTCAAAGGAGGCGAGCGCACAGAGCCCCCCATACAGCGCCACGTCTTGCGGTGCTATCACCTCGGAGTAGCTGCTGCCCATGTCGAAGCTGGCACTCACAAACTGCAGTGTGGAAAGGGAAACAAGGGGAAGAGAAAGGTGAACACCTATCAGAAACATTAGAGGGTTATCAACTCGGAGTAGCTGCTGCCCATGTCGAAGCTGGCACTCACAAACTGCAGTGTGGAAAGGGAAACAAGGGGAAGAGAAAGGTGAACACCTATCAGAAACATTAGAGGGTTATCACCTCGGAGTAGCTGCTGCCCATGTCGAAGCTGGCACTCACAAACTGCAGTGTGGAAAGGGAAACAAGGGGAAGAGAAAGGTGAACACCTATCAGAAACATTAGAGGGTTATCACCTCGGAGTAGCTGCTGCCCATGTCGAAGCTGGCACTCACAAACTGCAGTGTGGAAAGGGAAACAAGGGGAAGAGAAAGGTGAACACCTATCAGAAACATTAGAGGGTTATCACCTCGGAGTAGCTGCTGCCCATGTCGAAGCTGGCACTCACAAACTGCAGTGTGGAAAGGGAAACAAGGGGAAGAGAAAGGTGAACACCTATCAGAAACATTACAGGGTTATCACCTCCGAGTAGCTGCTGCCCATGTCGAAGCTGGCACTCACAAACTGCAGTGTGGAAAGGGAAACAAGGGGAAGAGAAAGGTGAACACCTATCAGAAACATTAGAGGGTTATCACCTCGGAGTAGCTGCTGCCCATGTCGAAGCTGGCACTCACAAACTGCAGTGTGGAAAGGGAAACAAGGGGAAGAGAAAGGTGAACACCTATCAGAAACATTACAGGGTTATCACCTCCGAGTAGCTGCTGCCCATGTCGAAGCTGGCGCTCACAAACTGGGCACACAGCATGTCGCAGCGAGGGTAAGAGGCAAGAAAGGGAACGACTTGGGGAAAACGGTGAAGGCGAAAGAGATGCGCCAATCACCACCCTTCCTTGATAATTTCAACCTGCTTCCATTCCAGTCAACACCCTACCTCTCTGATCGCAGTCACAACCAGAGCACTGCCATACCTTCCTGGCTTTTGAGGCGCCTCAAAAGTCAACCAGAGCACGGCCATACCTTCCTGGCTTTTGAGGCGCCTCAAAAGTCAACCAGAGCACGGCCATACCTTCCTGGCTTTTGAGGCGCCTCAAAAGTCAACCAGAGCACGGCCATACCTTCCAGGCAGCGGCCTTGTACTTGCACCCACTCACCACCCTGCCTTGCTGTTCGCGATCACAGGCATACCTTTCTGTTTGCAACCCACCTTTGTACTACTAACCCCGCATTCTTATCACAACCATACCTTCCTGGCAGCGGCCTTGTACTTGCACCCACTCACCAACCTGCCTTGCTGTTCGCGATCACAGGCATACCTTTCTGTTTGCAACCCACCTTTGTACTACTAACCCCGCATTCTTATCACAACCGTACCTTCCTGGCAGCGGCCTTGTACTTTCGCCCTTCCAAACTCGCCAGCCCAGCAGCGCTCCTGAGCTTGGCCAGCACGATGGGGTCAGTCATGCCGCGCTCAGCCTTCTGCACGTAGTTGCTCACGTTCACAAAGTGCCCCAGCTCCACGCACTCCTGCGCTCTCCCCTTTCCCTTTCTCCACCTTCCTGTTTTCAACCCACCTTCCTGTTTTCCGCCTGCATTCCCATCACAAACCCACCTTCCTGGCAGTGGCCTTGTACTTTCTCCCTTCCAAGCTCGCCAGCCCAGCAGCGCTCCTGAGCTTGGCCAGCACGATGGGGTCAGTCATGTTGCACTCCGCCTTCTGCACATAGTTGCTCACGTTCACAAAGTGCCCCAGCTCTACGCCCCCCCTTCCCTCTCCCCGCCTTCCTGTTTTCAACCCACCTTCCTGTTTGCAACCCGCCTTGCTTCAGCCTGCATTCCCATCACAAACCCACCTTCCTGGCTGCGGCCTTGTATTTCCGCCCCTCCAAGCTTGCCAGCCCAGCAGCGCTCCTGAGCTTCGCCAGCACGATGGGGTCAGTCATGCCGCGCTCAGCCTTCTGCACGTAGTTGTTCACGTTCACAAAGTGCCCCAGCTCTACTACGCCCCCCCTTCCCTCTCCCCGCCTTCCTGTTTTCAACCCACCTTCCTGTTTGCAACCCGCCTTGCTTCAGCCTGCATTCCCATCACAAACCCACCTTCCTGGCTGCGGCCTTGTATTTCCGCCCCTCCAAGCTCGCCAGCCCAGCAGCGCTCCTGAGCTTCGCCAGCACGATGGGGTCAGTCATGCCGCGCTCAGCCTTCTGCACGTAGTTGCTCACGTTCACAAAGTGCCCCAGCTCCACACTCGCCACGATCACGTTGAGGCACATGGCGATGGTGTGCTTGGACGTGATGCAGTAGTCGCGCGTGCGCACATAGCACCGGAAGGCCTGTTGGAGGTCCCCCCGCGAGTAGAAAAAGTCGCCTAAATCATTGTACCCCATGCGGATGGACTCCTTTATCAGGTTCGTCTGTAGCGGGTATGATGGCAGAGGAGGGCAGGGAAGGGAGGAGGGAAGAGGAGGGGAAGGGGGGATACAGGGAAGAAGGCTCTTCAGTGTGTGGAACGAAGGAAGGGTGTTGGGGTGTGTGAGAGGGGTGGAGGGGAGGAGAGGCACACATGGCGATGGTGTGCTTGGACGTGATGCAGTAGTCGCGCGTGCGCACGTAGCACTGGAACGCCTGTTGGAGATCGCCCCGGGAGTAGAGGAAGTCGCCGAGATCGTTGTACCCATGCGGATCGACTCCTTTATCAGGTTCGTCTGTAGCGGGGATGAGGGGGAGGTGTTACAAGGATTCCCTGTTACCAAGTGTAACCTGACGTCAGGTTTGGTTACACATGCCATGCCATGCTGAACGAATTTAGTCTGCACTCATCCCTGCGAACAAAATAAATCCCTAAATTCATTTGAAGGTGTTCCCTCCATACCTTGTCTTGTACCCGTTTAACGCCATACCTTGTACCCGTTACGCCATACCTTGTACCCGTTACGCCATACCTTGTACCCGTTACGCCATACCTTGTACCCGTTAACCGCAGTACCTTGTACCCGTTTAACTCCATCTCCAGCTTCTCCTGCTTCTGCACCGCGCGTCGCTCCACAGAATCCACCCACTCCTGATCCAGCTCGTACTTAGGCCCGAGGCGCCCCGCAATCTTCGCCACGACCTCTTTATACGCCGCGCTGTTCTCGCCGCGCTTTAACTCATCCGCCGCCATCCGCAGCGCCTCGAGCTCCATCGCGGTCTGGCCAATAGCGGCGCACCGCTCCGCGATGAATCGCAGCCGTACGATGCGCGTGTGGCCGGAATAATTCGCAGCGTACGATTCCAGATCCATTATCTGCTCCTCGCCCGCCGCTCCCGCCGCGGAAGCCGGCGAGGCAGACACCCCGCCGGCAGATGCGCCAGTGGTAGGGGTAGAGTTGACGGGAGGAGTTTCAGAGCCAGACGCGCCGACAGGTGGGTTCTGAGTTGGAGGCGGTGTGGCTGGAATCCTGGATTCTGACGCCATTAGGATCCTGGAGTTAAGGCCCAGCAATTTATTGAGTGAATGAGTTTTGAACCGACTAGCAGAACAATCTAGACAGAAAGTTTGCTGCAGGAGTATGTTACGAGTGCAAGTGAGTGAACGAGCGAGAATTGCACTATCGAAGCAAGAGTACAATGAGCGAAGGTATGAGCGAAGAATATATAGCGAAACTACAGTGGTAACGGTAATGGTCGCGCGACGAGCCTGGGACTGAGGTTGGGAACGTGTCGAAGCGTAGGCACGGAGCGCGGGTTACCAGCCGAGCCGTGAGGTCGGGATGCGATGTGCGAAAATGGCGGGATGATGAATGATGCGATGGTTGTGAGTGGTAACGGTGACTGAGGTGCTACAGTGATAAACGCGTTGAGCAGAGGTGCGAAGTAAGGAAAAGGGAATTTCCTTACACTACCCCCCCCTCCTAAAAGGTCCTCCTTACGAAAGCGCGTGGACGTCTTTGAAGTTCCGGCTGCGTAGATAGTCCGTGACGACAGGGTGGTTTTCAATTCTGTCCAGGGGAACCCAATTGTCCTCGGTGGGTGTACGATCTTTCCAGCGAATTAGAAACTCAACTTTTCGGGCCCCTCCAGGGTCGCGAACTCTGTGGCTCAAGATTTTGTCGGGGGTGATGACTGGTTCGGTTGGTGGTCGTGACATGCTGGATGGTCGATGTCGTGGGAGTTGGCTGGTGGATGGTACGTAAGGGCGAAGCAGGCTGACGTGGAACGAGGGGCTGACGTACCAGTCAGCAGGAAGGAGGAGGTGCGCGGTGACATGTGTGATCATGTGACTGATTCGAAATGGCCCACAGTATCGAGGGCGGAGTTTGGGAGTGATGGGCAGGCGGAGGTTCTGAGTGTCGAGTAAAACGAGGTCGTCGGGCTGATAAGTGACGGGTCTGCGGTGGCGATCGGCGTTGCGTTTAGCGATGATATTTGATTTTTTAATTGCTTCTGCTACCCTGGTCCGTGCTGCTTGCAAAATCTCGGCGAACTGTTGTGCGCGTGGAACGGGATTGTCGGGGTTTGGTGTCATGGGTACTGTTGGGTTCTGTCCGTAATTCAAGTAGAATGGCGACTGTTGGGTCGTGGCAGATGGCGCGTTGTTGTATGCAAACTCGATGAGAGGCAGCTGCTGCTCCCACGTGTTTGGATCGCCACACGTGGCTCGAATGAGTTGCTCCATAGTCTGGTTTGTCCGTTCTGTCTGTCCGTCGGTTTCGGGGTGATACGATGAACTGAATTGAAGTCGCGTGCCGAACTGCTGCCACAGGTTCCGCCAGAAATTACTGGTAAACTTCGTGTCCCTGTCGCTGATGATTGACGCTGGTATCCCGTGCAGTCGAACGACGGTGGCGATGAAGAGTCGGGCTGTTTCCTCGGCTGTGATTGATTTCCTGCATGCTGCGAAATGTGCCATTTTCGTTAGTCGATCGACGACGACCAGGATCGCGTCATTCCCACTCGCCCCGGCCGGTAACCCCGTGACGAAGTCCATCGTCACCTGCTGCCAAGCACGCTCTGGAGGTGGGATTGGTTGTAATTGTCCTGCCGGCTGCTTCCTGGTTGACTTCATGAGTTGGCAAGTGGGACACGATGCCACGTGTCGTTGCACGTCGGTCAATATTTCCGGCCAGTAATAGTACCGCTGCAGCTGCTGCCGTGTTTTTTCTACTCCGAAATGTCCCGAGGTAACTCCGTCGTGTGCCTCCTGTAACAGTAGTTCCCGTAGTAGCGTGTACCCTGGTACCCAGATGCGGTCGGATCCAGCTTTTACGTAATAGGCTCCCTTGGCTGCTGTGAATTGCTGTGAATTTCCTCCTGTGAAGAATGGGTCTGTTTGATATCCGTGGGTAAATAGTCCTGTCAGTAACGGGCTAGTCTGGGCGAGTAGTATCGCATGTATTTGGGCAGTGGGGCGGGTCAGTGCGTCGGCGATATTCGAGGCTCCTTTTTTGTATGTGACCGTATATTGGAAATTCGATTCGAGGAAGTCGAGCCACCGAATCTGTCGTGGGTTGAGGTGGGGCTGTGCGCGAAGGTAGTGTAGGGATCGATGGTCTGTCCGTAGTGTCACGTCTGCGCCGGTCAAGTAGCAACGCCACACTTTGAATGCATGCACGATCGCGAGCATTTCGCGGTCGTGTATCGGGTAATTTCGCTCAGGTGGATGTAGCTTGCGTGATTCGTAGGCGATGGGTTGGAGGTCGTGGCCAAAGTCCTGTAACAGTACGGCTCCGATGGCGATGTCACTCGCGTCTGTAACAACTTCGAAGGGGCGGTGTGGGTCAGCGATGCGTAGGACGGGTGGTGAACAGAGAACATTTTTCAGGGCAGAGAAGGCAGCATGCTCTTTCTCCCCCCACGTAAAAGGGACCCCCTTACGCAGTAAATCAGTGAGCGGGGCTGTTAAGCGTGCCATGCCGGGGACGAACCGACGAACGTAATTAACAAACCCTAAAAAACTCTGTAGTTCCGTGATGTTCGTCGGAGGATGCCACGCTTTTACGGTATCCAGCTTCTTAGGGTCTATCTCAACCCCAGCCTCCGAAATGACGTGACCTAAAAACTCTAGCCTGTCCCGAAAAAACTCGCACTTGGAGCCCTTGGTGAGTAACCGATGTGCCTCTAGAATTTTAAAAACTGCTTCGAGGTCTACTAAGTGCTGCTGCTGGTCCCGACTGTAAACGAGGATGTCGTCGAGGTAAAGTATGACGCATTTATCTAAAAGTGGCCTAAACGCCTCGTTCATGGCCATCTGAAATGTTGCAGGCGCGTTGGTCAGCCCGAAAGGCATCACCGTGTACTCGAATGACCCGTACCTAGTCCTAAATGCTGTCTTGGCGCAGTCCGATGGTTCGACCCGAATTTGATGGTAACCTCCCCGTAAGTCTATTTTCGAAAATACTCGTGCGGTTCGCAGCTGGTCGATCAGTTCGTCGGCGCAGGGGATGGGGTATCGTGATTTTACTGTTACCCTGTTAAGCGCTCGGTAGTCGATGCACATGCGAAACCCCCCGTCTTTTTTCGGTGTGAACAGTATCGGTGCGGCGAACGGTGACGAGCTCGGTCAGATAAACTGCTTCTCTAACAAGTAATCTAACTGCTTCCTTAGCTCGTCGAGCTCGGGCTGTGTCAGTCGAAATTGGCGCTGTACAGTTGGCTTTGCCCCCGGTTCTAACTCGATCCTATGGTCATGCGCCCGCTGAGGTGGCAGCCCTTGTGGTAAGTCATCCGGAAAGATACCCGGGAACCGTTTCAGTAGTGCCTGTAGTTCGGGTGGTACGGCTGCCAACAGTTTCTGCAAATCACTCGGCCGGTCCTCTTTTCCCACTAATGCGATATCCACTGCGTACACGTCATCTCCAGCAGCGACAGCCCGTTTCATCGTGATGGCGTTGACCTGGACCGTCGAAGACTCGGGTGGCTGCCAGCGAGGTAGGACGACCCAGTTACCACTACTTCGCACTGTGCAGCTACCCGTCGTCCAGTCAATTCGTGGGATATACCGTCGCAACCAATCACGTCCCAATAAAATGTCGTGCCCATCCAGTGTCGTTGCGAGCATTTCCTGTGTAAACCCGAAGTTCCCTCCGCAGCGGACCTTTACTCTCTCCACCTTTTCCCGTATAGCCAGTGGCGTGCCGTCGACTAAGCGTGCATCTATCTCAGGTAAGCATCGGTTAAGTGTTAACTGCAATTTCCGTGCGGTTGCGGTATTAACTAAGCTGTAACTTGCTCCTCCGTCAATAAAAATCTTCACTGCTGCTCCCTGTATTTTCCCGTAGAGTAATACCGGGCAATCCGTCGCTGTACCCTCCTTATTCATCCGAGCCCGATCGATGGCATGAATCGGTACTGTGACTCGGTGAGGGTCGGTGTGGTTGGGGGAGCAGGCAGTCTCGTAAGTAGTTGGCCCAACTTCTACTGACTGCTGGCGTTTCCCTGCCTCTGAGACTCCCTCCCCTGCTCTGCTCCTCGGCGCCTCAGCTCCTCTGGGCATTCGCTCTTGCGATGGCCCGGCCTGTTGCAAGCAAAGCACCGCCCCTTAAACGGTGCGGCAGCTGCATTCGTTGCGACGGCGTGTACAGTGGCGTGCTCGGTCGGTCCCCGAGGACGATGTCCGTAATAGGACCCCGGTCTCGGTCGGCGTAGAATGTCGATCTTCTCGGCGAGCGCGAGAATCTCGTTGAAGTTAGAGAGTCCGCGCAGCATTATCTCGTGCGAGATGTCCGGCTTCAGCCCTCCGACGTAACGGTCCACCCGCTCCGCTTCGTGCATGTAGCCGACCTGTTCGCAAAGTGCGAGAAAACCGCTGGTATAGTCTTGAACTGACCCGAGCTGGCGCCAAGTGCGCAGTTTGTGACGCGCCGAAATTGAAGCCGCGATCGGCTCAAAACGCGCCCGAAGTCCTGCGCACCACGTGTTGAACAAGGAATGGAATTACTAAGAAAGAAATGGGTACAAATATGGAAACCTAGAAGTGTGTACCCCCTATAGGCTAACCCACTGTAGCCTAAACAACTTCAACAATATATATATTGTTTGACACACCCCCATAGGCAAAGTGGGGGAGAACTAGGGGTCACAAGACCAGTCAAACAAAGCAAAGCAAGCTCAGGGTGGATCACAATGTCACCACACAATCCGAGCACAAGTTCAAGGCCACAAGGCCAGTTCACATGCAGGAGTACATATATATATATAAGACTAAACAAGCAAGAGCAGTGATATATATATGTAACAGTACAAAGAGGGTCAAGAGGAGAGCAAGTGAGGCAAGACAGACACAAGACCCAGCTGGGTACAGCAGCGCTGATGATCACAAGGCGCAAGTGCCTTGGTGAAAACATCAGCAGTGTTGGCCACAGAAGCCACGTACGCAAGTCGCAACTGACCACGCTGCTGTAGCTCACGAGCAAGGAAGTAGCGGAGAGCAATGTGCTTTGTTCTGTGCTCCAGTCTCTGCTCTCGACACAAGGTGAG